ATCTGTCTCCCTCTCCTCTGTTATTGTCTCTTCTCTTCTATTCTCTTAGCTCTGTCTGGCATATCCTTCTCACTCACTCATAATTCTCACCATTTCCTTCAATATCCCTCTTTCTACACTGTCGCTCATAAAGTTGGAATATTTTAGTTTTACCCCAATTTATGGAATTATCTTAAAAAATAATGTTAAAATAACAGATCTAGATAAAAGTATACATGCTCTGATTTTATTGAATGATAATTTGACAATGTGTGTTTTGCGTGACTGCTAAAGCATGTGTATGCTACTATGCTTATCAACTAGGGGATCTACGCCCTTAAGTTATAAATGACAGTAATGAGGATTAAAGGGCACTAATATAGCACATCGACACGGTTTTGATCCTGGGGCCTCCCAGTTACGAGGCCATTGCTTTGTCACTGAACTATGACTGTACGCAGCGGGGGCTAGGGTAGGGGGCAGTTTCCATAAATAAAAATTAAAAAAGAAAATGCAATAAATTTTCAATAATTTATTGCAATTTACCCCGGTTCCCAACGTTAAAAAAAATCCTCTGTGTGTCCATGCCTTGCGCCATAATGCATGGCCGCCGAGGGAATTTTTTTATGTTGGGGACCGGTGTCGATGTGCTACATTAGTGCGCTTTTGTGGGGCATTAATCCTCATTACTGTCATTTATGACTTAAGGGCGTAGGTCCCCTAGTTGATAAGCATAGTAGCATACACATGCTTTAGCAGTCACGCAAAACACACATTGGCAAATTATTATTCAATAAAATCTGAAAATGTATACTATTATCTAGATCTATTATTTTTTAATTATTTTAAAAATAATTCCATAAATTGAGGTTAAACAAAAATATTCCAACTTTATGAACGACAGTGTATATCCACTGAACTTTTACACATGGAGACGTCCCATGTTGTGCATTTTAGAATAATAACTGCTAAAGTGATGTCAGGTGCTTCATAAATACTCTTTGTATAGAGTCCCCAAAAGAATACTTCAACATGTGTATCATAGAATGTGCCGCTTGAATGGTGTAGGCATATATTCTGATTGAATGACTAGTCCACATATTAATATGCATGCGTTTTCAGCCGTGTCCATGTGCTAACACATTTTAAGGGCTAATGTACTTTTTGCATTTAATCAATACAATTATCGTCTACAAGTTAATGACTGGGTATAACGAAATGTATTTGTTATATGCATGTATGATTAGCCGATGAATGGAGATAATGTATGCCCCTGTGTCGTTGGTTTGAAATGCATCCAGTTTTCCGACAATCCCGTGGCAAATATATTACAGATTTTATCAGTTTCGTGGCACAACTTGGCACAACTTGGCACTACGCGTGGACGATTCCCCGAAATTACAAGGGCCTACGTGATGGATACAGCAAAATGATTTAGTGGCTATACCTTGATTTTAAGGCAACTTCGTTTGTCTTATATGGAGCTGACGGTGTGATGTTTTTCTTGAGGGGGTGACCGTGCGTGATGTGTTATAGATACCCACTACGTTACATTCTGACAGCGGAAGTAGATAATTGTTACGTTTATTGTATGCTTAAAATCAACTTAAAACCCGATTGGAAAGACGGTTCCCCCCCCCCCCCCCCGCCCCTTCCCATGCCCATTGATTCAAGTGCCCCTCAAAGGTTTTGCCCAGGCGACGCGTCGCGACGCCACTAACCGCCGGTACGTTTCTAGACTCGGTATTTGTGACCAATTAAGCTTGACATGCTAAATTGAATTCGACCGAACGCTAAAACGCGATGACACCCATCAGGGTACTCAGATATACATGGATACATTCCCTAGGGGAGGGACTTTCATGTCACTCTCTATAACTCATGCATGCTATGTCAGCTGATTCTGCAAGTAATTTCTTTGAAACATTACTCGAGGGCTTAAAACAATTATTATCTAGGATAGAGCGATGGATATTTTGAAGTAAACAGTGAGAAAAGACAGGATCCAGAGAAAGGACGTGGATGTGTTCTTGGAGGGACGGATCCAGCTTTTCAAAAAAAAAAGGGGGTACAATCCGGACAAAAAGACAAGCAAAACATGTAATATATTTATATATCCAGGGTGCCTTTTTTGTTTCGTGTATACACTGTGAAAAAGTAGGGCAATATTTTCCAACACATTGCCAAACGTTGTGCCAAAGTCAACCCAACCATCCATTGGGCAAATTGTTTCGTATTTTGCCCAACAGCTGGTCAAGATTTTCCCAACAAGTGGGCTACTGTAGTCAGGCAGTTGAAGGGTCATATCTTTGCCTAATTGTTGGTCAAAATACGAAAAAAAAGTATGCACGTGTGAAGTAGGGTACTTACGTTTACCAATACCACTGGGCAAAAAATTGCCCAATTGATGGTTGGGTTAACTATTGGCACAACGTTGGGCAAATTGTTGGGAAAATATTGCCCAACCTTTTCACGGTGTACGAAGGAGAGGGCAAATTTCGGGGCTGTTTAAAGTGTTAATCGAGAATTTGACACTATGCACAAAATATGACAGATTATACCAGGAAAATTATATTAAGTTTTAAACATTTTAAAAGAAATGATATTGAGGATAAGTATTTATTAGTATTTGTGATGGTGACTCAATATATATAACATACTATACATACTTAACACTAGCCATACAAGTAGGTAGGATTTGCCTCGATTAAATTTAAAAAATGAGGGGGGAGCATGAAGAAATTTTAGGGGCTTGAGCTCACAAGCTCCTCTCTTAAACCACTACTGTTGTTATTAAAGAGGCAAATATTAGGCGATCGGTATGCAGGTCCAGTATGTTCCCTATACTCATGTAACCGTTACGTCAGGGAAGTATAATTTGGGGGACATGCAGACCATACAGTTTCACCCAAGAGTGATATGACTTTAATAGTGGCGTAGACTGAGTCGTCCTGGGGTGTGGAGGTGGGTTGCATCATTTGGGGACACGCGTCGTACTAGGTGAATAAAAAGATTGTGAACAAGGCATCCGATAAGGGTATGCGGAGGTGTGCTACCCTCTTCTTTTCTCGTCCCTTTCCAGTCATCTTTCCCCATCTCTCTGTTTGTCTATCGCTCTCTCTCTCTCTCCCTCTCTCTCTCTCTCCCTCTCTCTCTTTCTCTCTCCCTCTCTCTCTTTGTCTCTCCCTCTTTTGCCATTAAATTGGGGACACGAACTCCCTTGCTCCCGCTCCTATCCCCGAGATATAGCGATATATTATAGCCAGTACAACGGATAAGCTAGTAGTAATAATATTTTGAGGGAACGCCTTAAAGTCAGGGAGATTGACAGCCTCATTAGCATCCATGTATCGTCCATGCGATTCTTTTCCAAATGTACTCATGTTTTGTTTTCAATGACGTTCGTTGTTTTTACCGAATAAATAATAATGATAATAATAATAATATCTATATATTATGCTAAATAAGGATATAATACGCATCGAATCTTAATCTCTTAAAAACTAGGCGCTCTGTATAATATCGTTTCCAGTTTGTAGTTTCCATTTTGGTTTTTCATCATGCTATTATGTTCTTATCATTTTATTTCTTCTGTACTCACTTCTTGAATTTTGTTTATATCCATAGCGCTTAGAGACTTAATTGTGATTTGCGCTATATAAAAACTGAGTATTATTTTTATTATTATTATTATCGTTCGATGCCTTATGCCGAGGATTTTATTATTTTGTGTAGGATAGTCTCCGGTAAATCTCCCTTTAATATATTCATTGATATTAATTATGTATGAATTCCTCTTACGCACTATTAACATATTTGATTTAGCCTTACATACAGTATTATCGCTGAAATAGGAAGTAAACAATTCAATTTAATTAAAAGTATTACTTCATTAAAAAATCACATACAATATAATTATACACATTGAGAAGTGTACTGGATCATTAGCTTCCGAAAATGGGTGTACCAATAACATAAGTGACAAATGTGGAAAATACAAACCATTAAATGAACAATATAACAAAATGCAAGACGTAAACAAGACATTACAAACTAAAACACAATTGTGATACAAAATGACATAATTTAGATGGTAATTGTATGCATCAGGAAATTCATCTACAGTATATGTGGCAAAAAGACACAACTTAAATTTCGACTTGAAATAATTGAGTGGTCGCATTTTTAATTAAGTTTTCAATATTGTTCCATAATATCACCTTCTTTTTGTTGTTTAAAATTTACCTTCCGTAATTTTACACGTGAATATGGCCAAAAATAATATGTTTTTGTCTTGAAATCTCATTTGGATTATTATTTTTCTTTCTGTTTCTTCATTTTGAGTGCTGTAGGCACACTATGACCTACTTATAGAGTAATGTTAATGAATTTTCATCAATTCTCGCCAATACGCCGAAAATGCCCGGATGTAGCCTCTTGAACGTAATCTCGAGACCTTTCGATGTACGAATGCATTGAATGAACGTCACGGAATCCGTCCCGTAAACTTGGTGACAATCGGCCGGGTACTACACCGGTTCTGCATCATCATGAAGTGTGTAGCCTTTGATATGACGTCTTCCATTTACTCAAACCGATTTACACCTACTAACTCAAAATCAGACATTATATCAGAAAGTTATGGATTTTTTAAATTCACAACTTTTCATGAAATACTTCAAATCTGTGAGTCAAATTAGCAACGCAGTCTCTAATAATTTTCGGCGTATTGGCGAGAATTGATGAAAATTCATTAACATTACTCTATAAGTAGGTCATAGTGTGCCTACAGCACTCAAAATGAAGAAACAGAAAGAAAAATAATAATCAAAATGAGATTTCAAGATAAAAACATATTATTTTTGGCCATATTCACGTGTAAAATTACGGAAGGTATTGTAATTATCATCATTATTATTATCATTATCCTACTCGTTATCACCATCATCGTAATAATCGTAACCTCTTTCAATACTATTTCTAAATATATATTGTCTGCCATTTTTTGTTTTACTTCTCAGCAATAACTTCTCACAGGAGACGATGAATGTCGCCGCAAATATCATCCTCCTGTCTATCATGACCTTGTTTGCTTCACGACACGTCCACGCCTACAGGATAGCACGGCGACGTCGAACTGGTGCTCGAACCACCTTCCGACACACGACAGCCGAGTCGGCTTCAACAAGTATGCCCCAGTGCGACCCGGCGACGTGCTGTAGTCTCAACGCCTGTCTTAAATACGTGATACATCCAAAGGATTTATGTCCAGAAAAACAAGATGAAGAAGTAAGTTTTTTCAAAGAGCCTGAGAAAAGGGTATTCCTTTAATACTTCTTCGTTTTCTTCTTCTTCATCGTCTTTTCCCTTCTTTCTTCTCTCTCTCTCTCTCTCACTCTCTCTCTCTCTCTCTCTCTTTTTTATCTCTCTCTCTCTCTCTCTCTTCCTCTTTTTCCTAAATGTAAATGGAAGTCACCTCCATTTTCATGAATGTAGCTACACATTTTATATATCTGACACTTTCGACCAACCTGTCCGGAAGACACCCACAGAAGTTTTCCTTTAATATGGAGAAAAATTTATCCCCGCTCCTATTTCCTGCGTCATAGATTAGATTTTTCGATTAGAATTTCAATTACAATTATATTACATGACTAAATTCTCTTAGTGTGATAATCTTGAAAGCTTATGATCGTACCTACGATATTTGTAATGACGACGACAAAAATAAAATAATAGATTAAACCATTTAAAGTGAGGTTTTTATAACTATTCTATTATGGGTTTATCTCAACTCTATTTATCTTCTACAGATTAAATTCCAACGTGATTCGTTATTGCCCGATTCCACGTGGCCTTTTATTCGACAGACCTCTGAAACCGGTGTCCGCTTCCCACCTTGGTTACCCGCCTCATCGTCATCCTCATCATCAACGAAATATCACCACGACTCCCCCTTTACACACCTCACAGAAGAGCAAGAGTTTATAGCGCGGACTTATTACAGCAGGTAATTGTGAGCTCGTGTAAAAACAATGAATTCGCTTAAACGTAGAAATGATCAAACAAAAAAGTATCATTTTAAGATATTATTACATATTATGTCAATTTGTGAGAGTGGGTATTGTATAAAGTGTCTACAGTGAAGTTATTCGCCGGATTGAATGAACGATGTACCAATTAAATCACTTACACCCACAACAAAAAGTGAGTCACCCTTACTCAAATTGATGAGTCACTGGTTTGTCCGTAGAGCGAAACACTTGAAGGATCATGTGAGTCACTATGACTCGATACAAATGAGTCTTATTTATCTAAGAGACTCATTTGTATCGAGTCATAGTGACTCACATGATCCTTCAAGTGTTTCGCTGTACGGACAAACCAGTGACTCATCAATTTGAGTAAGGGTGACTCACTTTTTGTTGTGGGTGCATCATGACATAGACCCCCCTACTCCCTAGGCCTATCACACACATACCATACCATGCCAGAGTCACTGTCCACATTTGCAATGGAAAATATATCCTAAAATATCACATTTTAGCGATGTAATCGGTGGTCCCGCTACCCGAATCTGAAAAATCTACTTTGTACGCACTAAATTAAGCCTTAACTTGAGATTTATTTGTCATCCATACTGTCACGAAACAATCTTGAATTAATTCGTTTTACATCAAATAACAAGGATCTAGGAGTTTCGTTGTATAAAACAATGATGCAAGATCATGCATGTTTTCATTCGACACGGCTTCGTGCGATACAGTAGAATCTATATAGTTAAGTTACACACAGCCTCATCAACTCGAGTGCGGATATCGTAAAATGAACGCATGCATCATTTGTATAATAATCAGAAGATTCAGCCCACGAATCCAGTCATAAAAATCATCGTTTAAAACCATATGAATAATTATGCGTACCAATTTTTCACTAGCTGCAGTCAAAACTCTTCTGAATCCAAGATATAAGATGGCGACGTCGCGTCGTCGATCGGGAATTCAAATATGGCTCGAGAATGCGCATTTTGGATGACGTCACGAAAGCATGCGCGCGCATGCATACAGCCTCACTTTCAAGTTGACTCACTTTTTTCTTCTAAAATGCTCTTATGTCGATCTTGACTCATTTTTTACGACCATGTGAGTCAGTCGAAGCATTTTGCAAATGCGTCAGCTCATGATTGACACACTGGTGAAATATAAACGAGTCAACAGAGACTCATTGGTTGTTACTAATGAGTCAATTTACACCTGACTCACGAAAATTATGCTTAAATGTGTCAAATGACTCACTTTTTGTTGTGGGTGTAGATTAATTCATTATAATATCGATTGTTTTATTGCGCACTTTGTTTGTTGGATTGATTGATTAGGTTGTCTGCTTATTTGAGTGGATGAACGAATGACTTACTCGGTTAGTCAATGGCGGAGTGGTTGAGTTATTGAGTCAGTGACTGACTGACTGACTGAGTGAAGGAATGAATGAATGACTTACTCGGTGAGTCAATGGCGGAGTGGTTGAGTTATTGAGTCAGTGACTGACTGACTGACTGAGTGAAGGAATGAATGAATGAATGAATGAGTCAGTCAGTCAGTCAATTGTTGACTGAGTCTCTGAGTCACTCAGAGAATGAGTGACTGAGTAATTTAGAGCGTTAGCGAGTGACTGAGTGACTGATTAAGGGAATTACTACTAACTGAGTGAGTGAGTGCGTGCGTGCGTGCACGACAGATCAATATACGGTTTGAGAAAGTTTTGAGGATGGCAACTAAGGAAACGGAGTGATTATAAAAGAGCGTGAATTAAGATTTCGGTAAATTTGTTTTTCTGACTTCTGACGTTGCCTGTATATAGCAATTTTCTTAACACATATAAGGTCAATAACTTTTCTATTCATTCATGGTTCAATATTTTGTTTTTTCAGATTTTTTCGAAGGCGGGACCAGTTACCGCCCATTCCCAATGACGTATATTACAGCAATGCAGACAGTCCGTCGATTCTTTCCAAGAGGACGAGTGAGGGCGTAAGATCAAAACGATCACTCAGCTACGTGTGTCCCAGAAACGAGCAATGGGAAGATATCATGCTCGCGATCAATGCCGATGACCAACTCGTTCAAATGGTGCAGGTGGGTAGCGGTGGTCAATAAAGACCCTGAATATCAACACACTTCATCTGTTTAAATGATGGCGTATCTAGGCCCTTAATTTCCCGAGGGAGGGCGACCAAGCAGTAAAATGTGTTCTTTTTAGCAAGCCCCGTAGCAAGCAAGCTGAACTTTTTGTTCCTGGGTCGGGCCTAGTCTGCAGGCATATACTGTAATTGATCACTTTTTACCACTTGACTTGAGAAGAGCCTAGCTGCTTCATTCTCCGGCCGTGTTAGGACCAGAAAATGTACAGAACGTATGCATAGTCTCAAATTACAGACACTATTAAATAAAACGACTAACCAGTACTTGTGCCATCAAACAAGATCGGGCTTCCTTTATAATGTTTAGCGACTGACACGTTACCGTTCCATTTCATAATAATATGGGATTTAAAAAAGATGCATAAATGAATCTAATTAGCGCAGTAACAAAAAGTCGTATAACATTGTTCTCAATAGTACACCCCCAGTACACCCCCCAAAATACAAGTTGTTGGGTTTCCTAGATTTGTGCATACATCAGACGATATTTTACCACAATTGACCCCACCCCTCCTAATACCCTAGTGCTCTACATTGTATATAACTCCTACCTCTGTTCTCGACCTCTCTCTACCTCTCCCTCTCTCCCTACCTCTCTCTCTCTCTCTCACTCCCTCTCTCTCTCTCATTACCCCTCTCTCTCTCCCTCTCTCTCTCTCTCTCTCTTCCTGTCTTTCTGCCTGCTAACAGCTGAGTGATTCTAGACAATGGTTGCTAACCGAGAGTTGCCAGTACGCCCGATCCCCCACCATCAGCAACGTCATCTGTCAGGAAGTTGTCAGACTCGTTTCTGCAGTCATCGTCGACGACGCCACGGACCAGGTTCGAAACGAGTACATCAAGGTCCATTGTTGCGTTGGGGTCCAGGTCGACTAGGTCGAGGACGTCGACAAAGCGCCCGTTAACCACGTGAGCACCAAGGAAGATGGCCGCTTAACAAACAAATGAGTGTTTGTGGGATGGTAATCTTGGAGCCACAAAAAAGGTAGTGGTGATCCTACAACCTAGGCTGAATATATCCTGATGTCATCTATGGTAGAAGCCCATAAAGAGAATATTCTCTAATCTGCAAAGTCCGCTGATGGCAATTGAGACACCAAGTCCGTGATTTAACCTTCGGAATGGTTTTATTTTCTCCCATATGTTGCTATATGTGATTGTTTAAATGTGAACAACCTTTGTCTTTTATAACGATTTTCTAATCTGGAGTTGTTTGTGTTTTCAATGACAACCTAACGGTTGCAATAGGGATACTCTTCGATTTGAGAATAATATTGATTATGGCAAACATGTGGCCCGAATTCACAAAGGAGGTTTGTCGACAAACCGTGGTTTTCGTACGTCATATGACGCGTTTTACGCGTTTTTTACAAACCTGGTTTGTAAAGAACAAAAGGAGGTTTGGCGAAACAAAAGGAGGTTTGAGCTCAAACCTTGGTCTGAGCCTAAACCTTGCTTTGTGAATTCGGCCATCAAGTCTGCATGTTCGCATAAATTGGGAACGACCTTCAAGAAAATGTTCATCTCCAATTATATAGTGATATACAACGATATACAACATTTAAAAGACAAATCTATTGCGACGTCAAAGGCAAAGGGTCAACTTTAATAGCGCATTGTGACTATAATATTATTGTAGAGATTCTTCCCTATCGTGACTGAAGGTAATAACTATAAATTTGCAAGACATTAAAGCAATAGGATGTATCAAAACAAGATTATGGCATTTTATCTGATATTATCTGACTCCTATACATCAGTAAATAAAAAAAGATTCGTTTCAATTTGTTTAGTCTTCAATCATTAGTTTGTTGATAAAAAGTGCAAATTTCAAAGAGAATTAAAATTCCTAAAATATAAAGGTTGTTGTAATTAACTTAGATGATGTGTACTTTAACATGATAATTTCCTTGTTCCTCGTGGGTGGAATAAATCTGGCCGGCCACTTAAGTTATTCTTTAAAAAATAATAATTATAATGTGAGTCGATCGCATGTGCGCTACTCAGTAATCGGAAATTTGATGAGTAGTAACTTATAATTTCCTTCTTTGTTTTACATTTTAATTGAAAACATGGTAGCTTCAAAAGGTTTCTTGAGGTATTTATACCCGAAGCTGGATTGACGGCAAATGTATTCATCATCTGTAGTAGAAATATTATTCATAGGGTGTGGATAAAAGTAACAAAACTCGAAGCGTGGGATTCGCTATTCTGTTTTTTTCTCCAAGCCCGATGCATCGGTTTGAAAAAGAAATGTCGTATTTGTCTATGTTAATTACTGTCATGTAACTTTTTTGTCAGCACTTTAATATAATTAAAAACGATTTCGTGTAAGTGTTCATGTCAGACAATCGTGCTTTCCAGATCAATGCCAGTCGATCTATCAATGCATTTATTCTATGTTATCTGTCCTTGAAAAACAAAGAGATGTGGCTTTTTTTAGTTTAAGTTCAATCAAACGTTTTAAGCGAGCCGATGAAATAAAGAACCTTGTAGTAAATATTTTCACACTGATGCGAAAGGATTCTCTGCTGAAATTAGCTGGCTTTGAGAGGCAGAGATTTTTTCTGATTGAGTTGTGATTACGAATTCATTTGAAATGTATGATTATGATTAAACATGTGATTTCTTGCACATTCCAGCATAACGTCTAACAAATTGTCTTCAGGATTTTATTTTTTCTCTCTAAATGTGGTATTTTATGAGCGGAAGAGGAATAGTGGGAGTGATGTGGCTATCATTCGCAGGGCAGAGGAAAGTGGGATACCCCGGTCTCTAGTCCCCCCCCCCCCTTCACGCATGCTCACACACACACTCACACACACTCACACACATACACACGCGCACACACCCGCAATTGAGCAATAACTCTCATTTGATCCTCGTTCAGGTATGAAGTGGTAAGCCGCAGCGGCTTTTTTATGTCGAAAAGTGTAATACCGATGTGTTGGCTCAGTCAGTAGAGCGTCCGTCTCACAACCGGGAGGTCGTGGGTTCGAACCCCGACCGCGTCATACCAGAAGACGTTAAAAGACGCGAGTTGCTGCTACCTTGTTTGGCGTTCAACAATAGGGGATAGAGCAACGTCGATCTGGCGCTGCTCAGTGGCTGCCGGGCTCACGATCAATTGGGCAAAAAGAATTTCCATTTTCGGTTTAACTTAATAAAATTTGGAGTGGACTTTAAACGATTATTATTATTATTACTCTTCACACCTTATATCACAGAGTTCAGGGATTACGCGCAGGATCTTTGTTGTGCGCACTTGCCATTCATTTACACATAGAAAACAGCGGCAGGTTTTTAATTTCGGCGATTTACTGCGTCATATCTAAACAAGTCTTTATATTCAATTCAATTTATTTATTTTCCATTAAAATCTAAAGTAAACAATACATAACAAATGAATGGCAAAATAGGGAGGACCCCAAAATAAGCAAGGCTTGTGAGAATGGGGCCCTGTACAAAAATAAACATACAAGAAAATTATAATACCAAATATTGTAATGTCTTCATTTGTAGGTAACGCTGTGAAATACTGTGCTTTTTCTCATGGACTGTTTTTCAATTGCAAGGTGGAGGAATCACGATCTACAAACATTGCTTGTTGTAATGTAATGTATACATGTATGAAATGTCAAAGGGCAAATGGTTTAAACTAATAAATGTGCTTTCTAGTCGGGTTTTTTTTCCTCCAACAGGATTGTAAGGACTTCCGAAAATCAACTTATGGCCATTTCAAATATTTTTTTTTCCATCGCCTTATAACGTAATCTGAACATGATTTTATTTTGATGGAATTTAAAATCGGTTATTGAAACTGCCCTCAAGTTGATTTCTCGAAAGTTATAGCGATCGTGGTCTCCCAAATGTTGAATAATTTCCAGCCGCTTCCCCTCGAAATGCAATAACTTATATTAGTTGACGATAATAATTATAACGATAGTGATGACGATGATGATGATGATGATGATGATGATGATAATGATGATGATGATGATGATGATGATGATAATGATGATGATGATGATGATGATGATGATGATAATGATGATGATGATGATGATGATGATGATGATGATAAGAGATCATACTATACTTCAGAAATAACTCACATGGTAGTACTGAGTAAAGATAACGATTATAATACGCAAGTACTATTACGTTCTGTTTTATTGTTTAAAAGCAAATAAAATTTATTAGGACTTGTCAAGGTCCAACATGAACACGTAAACAGTGTTGTAGCTAGAGGAGCACAAAGTCTAGTCGGATGGCACCCAAAATGAAGAAAAAAGAAGAAAGCAGGAAAGATGGAAAGAACAAAATAGAAAGAAAGAAAACAATGAAGATCGAAAGAAATAACGATATAGAGAAAGAGAGGAGGGAAGAAAGAAATATAAAAACAAAGTAAAAAGAAAAAAAGAAAGACGAAAAAAAAGGATGGAAATATAAATAGACAGGAAAAAAGAAAAAGAAAAGAAAGGTAGAAAAAAGAAAAAAGGAAAGAGAAGAAGAAGAAACAGAGAAAGAGAGAAATACAGAGTGAGTCAAAAAAAAATTACACCTAGAAAATTGCTAATTATTATATGAATCATCTATGAACAGTAAATTATCATACATCTTATGAAAGAGTGTTTTATCCCGAATCATTTGGTACCATTTTTGTGTGGTATATGTTCACGCTTGGGTGAACAGGAGGCATTGTTTGCGAGAGTGCAAAAGTCGACTTGCGCCAAAGTTGCCTCTGTGATGTTTGAATAAAACAATTGGGATTAGGGTATTAATTCGGTCTTTGCAGATCCAAATAACACCCCTAACAAAATTAATCATGCCACACATATCAAATATCGAATATCAAATATCAAGGAACATTTGTGCGCGTGTGCGTGGGTGTGTGTGACTTTGCCCTTTGCAAAAAACATAAGCAATGCACTTGATTTGATACATTCAATCCATTCTCTCACTCCACTAATCCCAACATAATACATACTGAAGGCATCACTTTGGCGCAAGTCGATTTTTGCACTCTCGCAAACAATGCCACCTGTTCATCCAAGCGTGAACACATACCATACAAAAATGGTACCAAACGATTTGGAATAAAACACTCTTTCATAAAATGTATTATAATTTACTGTTTATAGATTATTTTAAAAATAATTAGCAATTTTCTAGGTGTAAACTTTTTTTGACTCACACGGTAAAGAAAGAAAGAGGGCAATTAAAGGGCAGTAGGAGGCAAAAGGAAACATGCACGAGGAGAAATTGACATTGATATTCCGCCCCAGCACTAAAAAAAAATCCTTTTCCCATTGGACTATTCTGAGGAAGAATAATTTACCCATTATTCCTCGCCCCCTATCCCCCTAAAAATATACTTAACGATTAAATCACAAATCTTGTAACATTATTATGAAAATCAACCATTTGAGTCCCAGGCTCGAGGGGAAAATGCCAGCCCCTCCCCCATTTTGTTGTTCCTTTGTCTTTTTTATCTTAAATAAAAACATAGCAACATACATTGTGGCAAGAGCTTATTGATCTTCCTTCTTTCTTTTTTTTCATAATTTTGTTTACATCTTTTCTCGTCAATTTATAACTTCAGTCGCACCTGCTTTAGCGACCACCTGTCTACAGAGACCACACTGTTTCCTCTTGGAAATGCTTTCTCGTTGAAACATGTACTAAAGGAAACTGTACATAAAACCACCTGCCTATATATAGGGATAACTTCTCTTGTCTCCCTTAGGTGGTCCTTATAGGCAGGTTTCACTGTTTATTTATACAAAAAAAGTTGACGTTGACAGTTATCTAAATTCTCGTACAAACTGTTGCATACATGTATGTCGGATTCACACATTCGAAATAGCTGGATTTCAAAGCCATAATGCATTTTAAAGGCAAAGACCAATATTGGAAACGCCCCAAGTAAAAAAAATAATGAAATGGAAGCTCTTATTACCAATCATGGGAAAGAATATGTTTTGACTAATACATGATAATACAAAATTTGCCGGGAAACCGGCTACTAATTGATATATTTGGTAAATTAGTTTGTCTATTGTTATGTGATAGATAAAACGCACGTGTCGCGCACGTGTGCGTAGTCCCATATACATTTTTCTGTGAACGGTCCTCATATTGCTCCGGTTGTCTCATTTTCGCTCGCTGGAACATTGCCAGCACAAACCACTGACCTCTACCTCCTGGACGGATCATCGCCCAATCCCATTCACTATACGTTACGTACTAAAAGGCTGTATTGTCTGGCTGTTCATGAATATTCATGTTTTTGCTTACCTCGGCAAAATGTTTGCTTTTAATAAATGGAAAAATGACGGTGGGGGTTGGATGAAATGGACATAATGAACCAAGCAACAGTGATCTATGATAATTCATGCTTCTTATCCTTCGTGTGCTTGACCTATAATCTTAAAATCGCTTGGCAAACTGTGTCAAAAGTTCTACTTGTTTCACTTGTGTATTATAGGCAATGACGAGCCTGCAACCTATTTTGATCAAATTACGGTGGGTGAACTTTCAAAAGTCAATGGGACATGAGGGTTCCAATGAAAGAGCTAGTGATAACTTATGTCGGGGTGGATGTTCTTTTCGTTTAAACAAAAAATGAATTTTCAAACGATTTTAAGGCTAACATGTTAGGCTGCTGACTCTGACGATTTGGGGCGTTGTGAAATGAGACTAAACGGAGCTATATGAGTAACTTTACCAAGACTGGGCCAAATTTCTTATCATTTCGATGATTTCAGAACCTTGCAGTACACACCAATACTTATATGCTAGATGATCAACCTTTTCTGATCGATTCCACGTTTCTTTCACAATGCAATCGCATGACCAGAACTGATCTTTATCTTTAAACAAATCGACACTGAATATAAATATAGCATCAAATAAGTGTCATAGATAATGGTTGAACATTTACAAATATAAATATATTGCTTGCAAATTTACCCTGCGTAGAAAGATTAACAATATTCTATGGATATAAAAATAGGCCTATCCTAAAAATCATAAACTAACTTTGTAGCGTTAGAATTATCCCGTGATGTCAGAATCATAAGATCTTTCGTATGCAATAATTATTCCTTCCGGGTTAAATTGACTATTATTGTCTTTTTGCATAATTTCAGTCTGTCTGGGTCCTTGTGCTAGGTTCACGTTCAAATTTCCAATCCTGCATATTCACCCACTCACCGGAGAGGGCAGTAGATCCATTAATTGTTTTGCTATTTTGTCTTTTGGCTTTTGCACCATTTAAGTCTGTTTGTGTCTTCGTGTCAGGTTTACGTTCAAATTCCCAATCCTTCATATTCACCGGCTCACCTGAGAGGGAATCATTTGTGCTGCTATTTTGTCTTTTGGCTTTTGCACCATTTAAGTCTGTTTGTGTCTTCGTGTCAGGTTTACGTTCAAATTCCCAATCCTTCATATTCACCGGCTCACCGGAGAGGGGATCATTTGTGCTGCTATTTGGTCTTGTTTGGGAGGCGGCTGCTGTTTCCTCTGTCTCTGAAAGTCGCTGTTTAAAAAAAAAGAACATACAAACGGTGAGTTACTGTCGTTTTTCCCCTGTTATTCATTGAAATGTTGGGAAAATGTGTAAATTTAAACAATGCATATTACAGTAAGTATTACTTATCATATACATGTATGTAATAAATGATTCAGGCAAGGCATCACCCCCCCCCCCCCCCCCTCCTCTCCCAGCCCCTGGCAAATTCTGAACTTAAAACCTAAAATATCAAAAAGAAAATTTATTTTAAAACCTTTTTTGATGCTCGTCCCGACGAAATTTAAACTTATTTCAATCATTTTAATATAATTTCTATGCCTCCTTATCTCGGCCAGAATTTTGTTTTTGTAATATATAGCATAGAATAAGATATTTACGTAAGCAAACTTTTGTGGTAAAAAGAAGCCATTCTGGTAGTCGGATTACTTTTCTCCTCAAAAATTGAATTACGGGATCAGAATTACTGAATTTACGAACCCAGTGCATAAAGTGGTAATGAAATATTAAGCCTAACCTGGTTTACTTACCGCTTCATTCTCGACTTCGAAATATGGCGACGTACTTTTAGATGCGATCTTCTTGTCAAAGAAATTGAAGAGATTCTTAAACGCTGGACGACCAATAGGCTTCTCATGCCAGCACAATGACATCATCTTGTACCTTCGATAAAAAGATACGAATAATCAACATGAGCTTTGTGTGTATCATGTGATTCAGTTGGTCTTCATTTCACGCTGAGTAGGCCACAAGTTCACTGCCATCACACTGGAACGCGTGCATCAACATAAACACGCCTTCAATGGGATGTCAGCGGGTTTGGGCGGTTTCTTAAAACTATGGCTACAGTATAAAATAATATCGTTTTAAACTGTTTACAAATTGTATCACACTTCTAAATCTCATTTGTCTTTTATTTGCACGTTTACATTGATTATTCTACCCTACCTTTCTTTTTCCAGCTTATCTTTAATACTCTGTTTTTCTTTAGTTTTTTCTTCCAACAATTATCAAGCTCGGTTCGGAATCAACCAAACCTATCCCCGTCTTTGAGCGATTGTATCCAACACCTTATCAACTCATTATCTTCAGTTCTTACACGTCATCTGGGCAGTTTTCAGGTTTTTCCATCCGGTAACCGTCCCGGACTCGCCGCAAAACCTCTCGTGATGGCATGTCTTTGTATGGCATTTCACCGTTCGTGAAAATTTCATACAGCGTGATTCCATAAGACCATCTACAGAAACGATAATAAGTAGTAAACAATCGAGTATATAATGTATTTTTAAAAAAGAACACCAGGTACATTAAGTTTACACTTTTGCAGCTTAGTAGCCCATGATAGGCTTTTTTAATTTGAAGTTCCGATTCAAAAAGAAGTCATTTCTATATTCTGAGTAAAAGTATAATTTCTATCTCTTTATGTGTCTAAATGAACATGGTATCGGGCGAATGATCCTCGGATTTCTTAGGTTTTTTCCTGGTTAGCATCAAATGAAGTAGTACATAATGATACGTACAGTGTATCAGGAAGATAACCCTCTGACCAACTATGTCCCCCCCCCCCCCCCCCGGACAACGACTCACTCAGACACTTACACCGGGGCACAAAGACTTCCACCCTGTGTCGTTATACAAATCACAACGACTCCAGTCGTACTAATAGTAACAACCCTCGAAGACAACCATGGCCTAGGAATATTACACCTAAGTGACCTAGGCTTAATCTGATGACCATCTTGTCGATATTACCATACGTGTATGTATAGAAAACCCTTCGTCCCCAAACCAAAATAAAACAAAATAAACCAAACAATTTTCCTCGGAGTAACCCTTACTCCGATGGGAACTTCTTCACTGAAAGGTTTACCTAGGACAACAAGCCCAGTGGTAACAACCCGGCAGATAATCACATGACAAGACTATTCTTACTAGGAAAACTCTGATTGAGATCTTGCCAATACTATGTTTAGAAAACCATCCGTCCTAGGACAACTACCAACTCTGGCAATTGCTCTCATGGTATACCTCACCTATTATGTGGAATATTCACACTGTGACGGTTATCTCGTACAATACTCCAAGAGGTAACACCCCCCCCCCCCCGTCACCACCCAGCCCTACCACCACCACCACCACCACCACCACTTTGGACCACTTTCTGCTCTTAGAGCAACTATTATGACCCCTTTGCCGAGTCTACCACTCGTTTATATGTTTATATATAAGTTTTCTTTTAAAACAATAATAAGGTGGGACTGACATGTCACTTTGGATGGTGCATTTGCCCTCGATGTTGGTTTCTATGCTGGCCCACTTGATTGGACGTTTCCTCTCTGGTGACAATCTTTGATAACCCACTTGATAGATGTCACTGCTGAGACCAAAGTCCGAGATCTTTACCATGAGGTCAGTACCCACCAAGATGTTCCGAGCCGCCAAGTCACCGTGGTAGAACCGCTTAGAGGAGATGAAGACCTTCGAAATGAAGTATAATGTTATTATAAGGATAACAATAATTACTGTTATTAAAGGCATCATTTAGCAATGTTAAATCTGAGATGCACGGCCCCACGTGTTATCAGTGTCTGTGATATGGTGTTATATTGAAGCCCTAAAAAATTGTGCTTCAAAATGATCAAGGAGTGCCTCAAAAAAAGTAAAAACCTTTGGGTTACCGGTTTTACCATACTCGTTTTCCCCATTAGACTGTAGTGTTATGAGAACTGTTTGGCAAACGCAAAATTTGATTTCGATTTTCAATGATAAATATCTTGATAATAAGATCGGCTTGTAAAAGTCATGGGATTCCTGACTGACCTAAATGTTTATAATTATCATTGCAGCATGAGCTAAATCAAGGATTTTATTTTTAAAGGATCTAAGACAAAGTTACCGGTCGGAATCCCTTTAATGGTAATTCAATAATAATAATAAGAATGTATCATGTCCCCATGATAGCCTCATCAATAATTGATATTGCTCTCCCTGCGAGTCCTGTAATAATATATCATTATCAAATTTTAGGCCATCTACCGTGACAACTTAGATGCACACAGGGTTAACAGATCAAGAAATTTCGGGTTCCCATTTACTACCATTGGGTGGAGAGTGGAAATGTATCAATTAGTACTTGCCAAAGGCACCTTCACAATCCATAGACATATTTCATGGAGCAATTTGCTGACTCAGTTTTAAAGTAAGATAACATAAGGGGCACTTAGTTTCTACTCTTTTAAGATGGAGATTTTCTTTTGTCAATTTGTCAAAAAATTCTTGTGATTTCACAGCAATAAGCCAAACGATGTTAATATTACATAAACAATGATTAAGTCTAGGTATCCTGATTATCTTACCATTCCACTGGCTATTTGTCTTGCAATCTGATATCGTTGAAGATCTGTAATGTCATAAATGGGGTCCTTCTCAATGTGTCTAGGCTGTTTAAAAAAAAAAACAACAACAACAAAGTCATGACATGGGTCTGAAACATTTTCTTAGACGTAAATCCACCAGGTCGGGTTACATTGAACCGTGACGCGTGGCACATACATGTATCGCAACTTTCGTATGTGCATCTTAAGACTAGTCATATATTTACAAAATGGTATTGAGTTACGTAACGGTTTCCATTCTTGTGCTTCAATAGTAGGGTTGCATTCAGTAAAGGTTTCCTATTGCAAAGCCACCGATTTTCGTCGACCCGTCATTGTTAATCTTTTAAACTTTGCATAACGATGTCGAGAAAAATAAGTCGTATATAAAAGAATACAAAATGATAACTGAAAAATAACTTTCCCCATTATTTAGTTTCCGCATGTACTTACAAACTAAAATCCACTGTTTCTGATAAGAAATGATGTATCAATTGAATCTATTTTGAGAGGTTGAGAGGATTGGGTTGCGTTTTTTTTTAGTTGACTGCTAAGTAAGGATATGACGTCGTATGCTTCTAAGTAAGCAACAAGGGAATCGATCGCTTTAAGTCCTCCTCGAGGGACTTGGTGATGAGGATTAAAGCCTTACAAAAAGGCGGGACCTCCCGGTTAACCCGGGACCTCCCGGTTAACCCGGGACCACTGCTCTACCACTGAGCCATCGCGCCTCCAAGTGAATCTGTTTTTGAGAGTGCATAGGCAGACTAAAGGGCGTTCTCCGATTTCAAGTAGACTTTGGGATAACACTCGTAGGTCGTGTCACCGTCGATAGCTTTGGTAGTTTAATATCAACACATATAATAGACATAAATTACAAAAATTACAACAAATTACAGAATAACATGATCGCAAAGACTTTCAAGAAATCTAATCAAAAGGCCGTTTTCAATCCCCTTTTTTCTATAGAAATCATGTTCCGATTTAGTCTCGTCACTGTTATTTTTGCACTTTTAAGGATTATTGAAATCAGCTTATGTTCATGTTTTTACGGTTTGCCATCATGGAGTTATCTGTAATTTGTACCTTATTACATTTCCTCAGGAAGTGGAGCAAGTCACCATACTTCAACATCTCCGTGATCATGTAGTATGGGAACTTGACCGTGCAGCACGCAATGACCTCCAAGACATGCTGATGTCCACCAAGCTCGAACATAAGTCGGATCTCGTTCAGGAGATCGAGCTTCATAAGGTCTGAAACATGGTCTGAAACACGTGAAACCAACATATTGCAAGGTTAGTTTGTACTTTCATAATTGGTTTAATATATATATATATATATATATATATATATATTTATATATTTAAGTATGGTTTGTATGAACTGCATGTACATTATATTTCACGGATAATTTCTATGTCCCCCCCCCCCCCCCCCCTCTCTCTCTCTCTCTCTCTCTTTCTCTCCCCTTCTCTCGGTTTCTTGGCCATGTTCTTTCTTATTATTATTTTAGAAACTGCCACTGTTTGCAAGTTTCTGTAAGTATAGTTAATTGCATGGGTAACGAAACGTTGTCCGTTTGTGAAGGGTCGTATTCGAAACGTTTTTGCATATGTAACGTTGCTCACACGTCGCTACACTGCTTCAGACCATAATTCTTGCTTTTTGCTTTTTGCTGAATGCTTTTAAATATTGACAATACTGCAATGCAAGCTCTGTCACGCACGCATGAAACTGTCCCATTTTCAAGCCTGGTTCAAATTCGCAGAGATTTCATATTAAGAAATGATTGAATTCCAACAATGAATTTCTAAAATTCGATTATTTTTTTTCAGGAAAACATCGTTGTTCGAGTCCCAGTCAAGATGCCAACCCGACTCAAAATCGAGTCAAAGCGACCGATTCTTTGCCATTCATAGGGATATAATTTCTTGTCCGCTTTGTTGTCGGTCTTGTGTTGGTCTTGATGGTATGACGGAGTTATGAACAAAATTGCTCGACATTTGAACTGCCTGACCTTTGACCATTTTCACTGCCACAGGGACATGTTTCCAAGAGTCCGTGCGTCCTAGCAGTCTTCCACTGTACACCACGCCAAACTGCCCACTGCCAAGTTGCTCTCGAACCTCGACTTGATCGTGGCGAACTTCTTTGTCCTTGAAGACGGGATCAACTTCCTCTGGATGTATAAAAATGTTAGGATAAAGGGTTGCTATAATTTAAAATGATAATAATGATGATCATGATCATGATAGTAATGATAAGATAAATAATGTTAACATGCAGGGAAGTCACATCAGCTTGTAAACTGTTCTTTATTATGGGCCCTGACTCTGTAATAGGTACCCGATTGCTACAACCAGGTCAAGGAGGACAAACATGGGTAAACAAAGGCCTGTCATAATGGTGTAAGCACAGAACCTCTTCCAACCCTGCTGGAAAGAACACACTCATTCACAGTGTGATTCACACTGTGAATGAGTGTGAATGAGTGTGTTCTTTCCTTTTCCGGTTATCCACACTGTGAACCACAGTTTGAAACAAATCGACCACAATGTGAAAACGCCCCAATTTAAAATTGTGGAGCACACTGTGATTCACAGTGTGAAACACAGTGTGATTCACACTGTGAATGAGTGTGAATGAGTGTGTTCTTTCCCTTTCCGATTATCCACACTGTGAACCACAGTGTGAAACGAATCGACCACAATGTGAAAACGTCCCAATTTAACATTGTGGAGCACAGTGTGATTCACAGTGTGAAACACAGTGTGATTCACACTGTGAATGAGTGTGAATGCGTGTGTTCTTTTCAGCAGGGAAGGGCTGAATGAGCGTGTTTAAAATGCATCGCAAAATTGACTGCATTGATCCTTTTTAAGAAGGAATTGTCCAGCATTTGAAATGGGTTTTTCGAAATATGATTCAAATGATTTTTTTTTTCTCATGCAAAACATAATACAATGAATAATCATATTACAAAAATATGCAATGAAACGACAAATATCATAGAAAACGCACGATAAAAGAGGAACTATCTTGAAGCAGAGCTTGTTGAAGTTTTAGTTCCTCAGATGCTGTTTACAATATAACTACATACATATTTCCGCATTTGTACATGTTATAATCACCTTTCAGAAACTCAATCACAAAGATTTGTATCAATTCATTGCATTTTTTTTTCTATATCGGACTATGGTCTTAAGAATATAAAGATAAGCACACCTTTGAGTTGATGTTTAGTCTAGGGGGTTTTCTTTTGGGGGTTGGGATAGCTATTTTTGTTGTTGTTATTGGTGTTTTCAGTTATTTTTGTTGTTTTTGTTATTTTTTGTTATTTTGGGGGAGGGGGGCTGTAATTTGTGCCTGCTACAAAATCCCTTTGAGAAATTATCCGTATAATGTCAAATGCATCTAATTAACGTGGCATAACCGTATTGTTACCTCTTGAAACTATTTGAGGTGTAGGAGGTATGAGTTGTGGTTTCGGCTTGTACGGAGTCTTCATGCGACGATTACGCCGTCGGACACAAACGATGGCCAAGACTAGAAGAACGATCACAGTTATGATCACTATGGATGAGACAACGCTCATAGTCAATACGTCGAATCCTGGAAATAGAATGTAACAAAAGTTGACTTTTTATTCTTGAAGGGTTAAAATTAACGAATGTAAAGAAAATAGAAGAATACTTTTTGTAAATTAAAGTAAATGTACACCGAACCCAGTCGTACTTCGGTTTCTGTACAATTACGTGTACCAATGCACTCCAAGTTGTTCCGACGGTTGTTGAGAGAGAACTTTTACTCTCTTTTATGTCTCTTCGCCGAAGAAGTATTTACTTCTATCTACTTACTCTTATAATACACCGGCCTGACGCTTCTAACATGGAACAAGTATATCTTTGGTTTTTGGTTCTAAGGATGATTTGAGCTGTACAAAAGTAAAATATAAATCTGATATCAGTACAACGGAAAGGGACTTCGAACCTAAAGAACAAATTAATTAAATACAATTAAACCTTTATTGAATGACATCCACAAATTTGGATTATCTCCAATATAGACAAAAAAATAATCAAATTAGGTTACAAATAAATAACTGAAAGTTAATACAACAATGTACAAGTTATCATTGTCACGAAAAGAGAATAAAATCCACAATTTGGGAATAGAGTCAAACCTGCTTTAGTGACCACCTGTATAGAAAGACCACCTGTCTACAAAGACCACATTTTGTGTTTCCCTTGAAAATGTTTTCTCATTGAAACATATACTAAAGGAAGCTGTACATAAATACCACCTGCCTATAAAGACCACTTTTCTTGTCTCCCTTGGGTGGTCTTTATAGACAGGTTTCACTGTATTATGGACGATTCGGAAGTTAGCCGTGATTACGAAGACTTACCCGGTGTTATCGATGGAACACCATCTGACATTGTAGTTTGAATCATTGTTGTCGGATTCGAGTTCGCATCCGTTGTAGTGGTGGTTTGAGGCAGGCCTGATGACGATGGAGTTGTGAATATGAATTCAGCTTTCTGGCCATCTTTAAGATCATCAGAAGGCAGTATGCTCCATGGTGTGATCTGTGGAATAACAGTGTGGAAATTTCAATTCAATTCAATTCAAATGAACATTTATTTTCTTCCAAACAAAACAATTTATAAGTAGGAACATAACAATAATTAAAGAACTTGTATTACAAGGAAGAAGGCGCGAAACCCGAAAAGCATAGCTTGTAGAGGGTACGCCCGAATACATAAATACAATTATACATTATAAATGGGAGAAAGGAAGAAAGGGATAGGCAAAGAGGAGAGGACCTCTATAGAAAGAACAGACCCATTAGAATAATGGTTCTGAATAGAGCGATATATCTGTATTCTTTTTAATTAGTTATCATTGTTTCAACATCGTATGTATGTACTTATTTTGTTCATTCAGAAATAAAACCAAACAAAAGGAATGTGCAAGTTAGATCAGTAGTGTTCAGTAAACAAATTTCCTTCTTAATTGCATGTGTTATTCAATTTCATTTCATTTCATTTCGTTTCATTTCCATGCTAAAATTAGATTTATTGTGTTGCTATTCTTTAATATGTCCCTTGGACGAGAACAAAATTTTCATCAACAAAATTGAATATTCTTAAATGCACTTATTTACATAATCATTTTTGAATAGTAGTCACTGCAATAATAAGAATTAATAACAACAACAAAAAATGCTCACATTATTTACAATGATAGCTAACAGTAATAAAGCATATCAATGATTTACATGCTAAATAGACCTAATGTGAATTATATCAATTTATTCATCTGGGCCGCCCAAACGAAGGGACATACTCCGTCATCTCGAAATGTATCAAATTAAAACAAAATATTAACAACCAATATGAACTAAAATTAATTTGCTTATTATGCTATAAAGAAATCACTAGTGCCATGCATATGTAATGTTTACCTCGACTCTGTATTGTGTATTGAGAGATAATCCAGGAATTTGAGCTTCGTAAACCATGCTCGTGTTATCGTCTCTCTGTATAAGAACAAAATAAATCTTGGTTTACGGCTTAAAGCGAAAAGTGAAAAGTGTTTCAACATTGCACTCAACATTGCAAGAGAACCGATGGGAAATGATAATAATGTGGGTTCCATGACTGACTTTTGTTTTTTACCCTGTAGACAATAGTTTTATAAAGAGCACTGTATAGTCTTTCGGATGGTGACGTTAGAGGTCTGTCCCTAGACTTAAATAATCATTATCTGATTGATACACGTCTGTAAAACCCCAATTACACACATACACACTCATATCCACCCATATCCACATATCCACCCAGGTGAAGTAAATGGGTACCTGGTAGGAATTTATTCCTTGAAACGCAGCGCGCGTAACAGCTGCACTGCTAAAGCCAGGGTAATTATGCTGCATTATGCTTACGTATATTTCATCCGCAGCAAAATTTTGAGATTTTCAAAATTCCGCTGCGGATCTGGGTATGTCTGCGGATCCTGCGGATTGAATTACGGATGGATACGGATGCTTACGGATGATACGGATCCTTGCGGATGCTTACGGACTTTTATCCGTAAGCATCCGCAGCTACCGTAAGTGGCCGTGTGACTGTGCCATTAGAGACTTCTGACAAAGTAAGTGTTAGGCGCTATATAAGCACTGTAATTATTATTATTATTATACACACACACACCACTAGTAGCTGTTTCAGTGAAAGCAAGGAAAATCAAACTTCGCTTGCAAACAAGTTTTAAAGCTCTGACTTTACATTATGCTAACATCGTAATGCGTAGCACATCAACTTTGATATTAATCTTAACAATTCTGCAATAATAACGCTTTTGAGATAGTATGCCTCAGGATAATCATGGGTGTGACCAGACTTGACAGGATAAGAAACACACACAAACGAACACAACTGAACATGGAAGAAACCATCATCGACAGGGTTGCCACGAAAAGATTGAGATACATTGGACATATCAACAGAATGAATCCAAAAACATACCCCCACACCCTTCTCTATACGGAAATGTACATGGCAAACGTCCAAGGGGAAGACCAGCTAATGGATGGATGGACTGTACCAAGGAGGACTACAACAACAGACAACTTGGCTGCCTGACTAAAGCCACTATATAGGCTTACCGAAGAATGGAGACGTGGCAAGCCGTTGAAACAGAAGCCATCATACATCCCAGTGGTGGTGTGGACGGCTTAAAGTCAAGTAAGTCATTCCTGCATGAGAAAATTTTTCTCAACAAGGGGTCATTTTTCGATGATTATATTGCAAAATAATCCTATCTAATTGTCGTAATTTCGTTAAAAGGAACACAAATTTACAACTATAGTAGGAAAGCCAAAGTTCAATAGATTTTTTTGTTTTTCGTAGCTTACTTGAAAGACGGTCTGAAGATCGTCTCGGACGCCGGGCATAGTGACATCATAACTTTCAATAGAATACTTGTTGATGGCGCCGTTCACCTGTATGGGGGTACTCCACATGATAACAGCGTCAACTGTGACATTACCCTCGGTATCTTCGCCCCTTGTAAATCTTGTAAGCGATGCATTGACAGGCTTTCCGCTTACGACTATCGCTAAAAGAAAAAAGACCAAGAGTTAATCAATTTTACAGAGATTAAATTATATTCTTTAAATTTATCTCTTTATTTCTACCTGAAGGATTTCATTCTACCATAATGTATATTTATTCTTTTCGATATGAATTTATGTTTCAAAATAACAATTATTTTCATGCATATATAGGCTTGTTTAAGTAATCTGCAAATGAGCATAGGTAAATTGAGCAAATCTGTGCAACACTTTCATTCCTTGCAATTCAGCGAGCGCTAAAAAAAGACAGCAAAAGTAAGAAAATGTTGAATCAAAATATGATGTGCACAACTCAGTTTATGAACAATTATTATCGTCATTATTGTCATTATGGACAGGTAGCCTGTGGGGTCGATATCGATTTAGTTTTCAAGCGTCCCCATCATAGAGCAAATAATGCCGCGGATTACTCAATCTCGAAAATCGTTTAATATTGGTATTTAAGTATACGCCATGTTTCAAGCCCTGCTCCCGTTCTTACTTTTAAACAGTACCATCTTTGTGACATAATCAAGAATTAGAAATATATCAGAAGTAAATAAGATTTAATACGTACGTTGACTCCTGCAGAAATCTTCGTCTTGCGTTTCTTCATAGCAATCTGAAATGAAAGGAAAAAAATAGGTCGAAGTGATCACAATCGGTGATGTAATTTACAAGGCCATAAGGGAGCGTGCCCTCCCCCTCCCCCTTCCCTTAAACGGCAGAACAGAAAAAGTTATGAGGAAGGTGGAGATAAAGAAAGGTAAAGGGGATAATTACGTGAAAGAGTGATGTGATCTCCTCCCACTAATGGGTTGGTGTTAGCTTCTTTATAGCATTTTTTTTAAATGTCTGCCTTGTTTGGCAGTTGTAAATTTAATCCCAAACTCACATAATGAATAAAGATATTAGATTGGCTAAGCGAAACATCATTTTCATTCATTTTGTCATCACATTGTTGTTATAAATGTTATGGAATAAATTGTCATCCTAGCAGAGCCCTTTAAAGTGAAAAGTAATAGCTCGTTCTCACCTGCTGAATAAATATCAATGAGGCAAATTGAAGTACTAGCGAGAGCGTCCCATGTAGCGTTATACAGGCATACCTGAAAATGTTGATCCAATATTCTAGTTGTTAATTAATGATGTTTCAGAATTAACTTGAAAGACACTTTAAATGCTCCTTGTATCATGACCGAAACCTTAACGGTTCTTTACAAAAGTGACTGGTATAATTTTGTTCACAAACGAAGTAGACAAAACATATTTGAATACATAACATACCAATTTATTAAGGAGGTGTACTGTTAGTAACATATTTGTCAGCATGAATGATGCAGAGCTTTTCGAAAATGATAATCATTATGAATGTAAATAATATCCGCGTGATTCTAGACTACCAAAATTATGTTAAAACTCTTTTTTAAGTTTTTTAAATTATTGTAAAATGCTCCTGCATTTAACATTTGGGACACAGCAGTCTGATAACAATAAATGTTAAATTCATTATATATTAATAATAAATAGACTTGAACTTACATCAAATATATACCTATGTCCGAAAGATAGATCTGTTTCGGTGTACAGTTCTCCTGTCTGAAAACAATTGAATTCTAAGGATTAATCCCGGAATGTTTCTCAAGATCTGGAATACATAGAGCCTACATAGGCCAGTTCAATAGTAAAATACTAGTACCATCTTCTTAGTTCTCAATTTGAGGTAGTTATACCCAAACATCCCCGCCCATCAGTCGATCTTTATGTACCTGTGCGATTTTTACACTGAAATATACATGAATATCACATTGGTACAAATTGAATGATTTACAATCCAAGCATTTCCTTTCTAAATTGGATTTATCTTGTTTTTTTTACTATCTATTAATTTGATGATTTGTATATAGTTTGATTATGAAGTTTGATTGTGATCACGGAGGAGTCAACTTAACAGATCTCTCAAAGGATTCTCACTCGATTTGGTTCCTCGCTAAAAAGTGAAGTATGTAACCACTTCCCCCCCCCCATCCTCCCCCCTCCCCCCCCCCCCCCCCCCTCCTCCCCAACCTTCAATTCCCCCTTTGACGAAATGTTCCCCGTAGACCATTCTACATCAGAAAGCTATTGGCAATCTGAAAATAATGGTGATACACAATAATGAAAATTACATACAACTCAAATTTTGATGTAAGGTACACTTGATATGCTCTCTCTCTCTCTCTCTCTCTCTCTTTCTTTCTTTCTCTCTCTCTCTCTCTCTCTCTCCCCTCTGTCTCTACCCCCATCTCTCTCTATGTCTCTCGCACTTTCTCTCTCTCTCTCGCCCCTTCTCTCTCTCTCTCCCTCTATCTATCTTTCTTTCTCCTTCTATCTCTCCCATCCTATCTTTTTCTCTCACTCCCAACCTCCGTTTCTCCCCTCCCCCCCCCCCTCTCTCTCTCTCTCTCTCTCTCTCTGTATCACTCTCCTTCCCTCTCTTTCTCTATCTCTCTCTCCTTATCTCTCTCTCTCTCCCATCCTCCGTTTCTCTCCCTCTCTGTTTCTACCCCCACCTCTTTCTATGTCTCTATCTATCTTTCTCTCTCTTTCTCTCTCTCTCTCTCCCATCCTCCGTTTCTCTCCCTCTCTGTTTCTACCCCCATCTCTTTCTATGTCTCTATCTATCTTTCTCTCTCTTTCTCTCTCTCTCTCTCTCTCCCATCCTCCGTTTCTCTCCCTATCTGTTTCTACCCCCATCTTTCTCTATGTCTCTATCTATCTTTCTCTCTCTTTCTCTCTCTCTCTCTCTCTCTCTCTCTCTCTCTTCTCCCATCCTCCCTTTTTCTCTCACTCCCAATCTCCGTTTCTCCCCTCCTCATCTGTCTCTCTCTATCTCTCTCTCTCTCTCTCTCTCTCTCTCTCTCTCTTCTCTCTCTTTCTCTCTCTCTCTCTCTCTCTCCTTCTCTCTCTTTCTCTCTCTCTCATTTTCTATCACTCACTCTCTCTCTCTCTCTCTCTCTCTCTCTCTCTCTCTTCTTCTTCTTCTTCTTCTTCTTCTTCTTTCTTCTTCTTCTTCTTCTTCTTCTCTATCTCTCAAACAAATACACACACATACAAACAAATTACATACGCTATAGTACAGCGGATAAGCTCACATGTAATGAAAAATGTGCACTACTACTATTCTTAATTTTCTAAGGTGATTCTTTGACCATACTGCCCATAAAACTACTCTTATAGCAGGTAGTAAAACGACAGACAGATACTTTCAATAAGAAATAATAATGATGATAACAAATTAAAAATAATAGACTTACGACGTGTTGCTGTGATTTGATTGGACACACATATTCTAGGGGTGATAAATCGGTATATTGCCTGTTTTGTTTTATCCCAGAACAGCGTAAATCGCCACCACTGTGTTTGGTTAACTGCACAGCGTAATCATGGCCTTAAGGAAAGACAGAGAGACAGAGAGACAGAGAAACAGAGATTTCATTTTTTGGTGAATCATACAGAAGTTAAATTTGCAGGTGGTCTAAATCTCAGCAACAATATGAGGTAAAGATCAGAGCGAGAATTTAGATATTTTCAAACTTGAGATTTTATAACAAAAGCAATCGTATATATATATATATGAACCCTTCAACGAGAATACATTTAGGTTGCGAAGACTTTCAAGAAATCAATTCAAACCCCTATGTTCACATGATGTTTGTTCGTGCCCTTGTATTGTTCGCAAATTCTAAAGATGAAAGACATGGCTACTGGTATTGAATTACGCCACCATGGCTAGGTGTGTTGATATTTAGAAAGTATTTGCGACTGCGTTATTCATTTCTGTACTCACAAGCAGCATTCTGAAACAGCGTATCACCCTTGTCCAGTAAATTTAATTGCAATTAAACACTTCAGCTCATCAAAGATACTGTTTTTACTGTGATTCAGAAGTTTAACAAATAAAATGATAACAGTGTAAAATAGACTAAATGAGACATTACTTGTGTTCAACGGTGCTGTCCATGTTATGTTAACATCCAATGCCCAAGAAATCGAAGAATCTCCAGTTATCTTTCGGACGAGGTAGATCGGTTTTACAGTGCTTGCGTCGATGTCTTCAAAGAGGAACAAACACTTAATTTGATAGTACGTATTTCAGAACCATCAAATGCAGTACTTTGAAACTAAACTAAAACGATCGCAAAGACTTTCGAAAAAAAATCAACCTGGAAAATGCCAATACCGTTGTACAATGACTTATTACGTAATCTCAACATGATTTACATAAGATATACAATATGGTATTGAAATTGCCCGCCCTTGAGTTGATTTTTCGAAATTATATTGCGATCGTGTTATTCAATCACGCTCGTTGTTTTTTTCTTCTCATAATTGCCTATAATATCATGTCTATTTTAAAAGAATGAAGACTTGTAGGATTTTAAAAGATTAGATTAGAAAATATATTATTATTGGCAACATCATTATGTGTTCTCAATCTGGTATTGTAAAATTGATTATATTAAACAATTACATAATGACGCTGTAAATAGGAACAAGGTTCGTTTTCATTATTAATAGGCATGGTAGGTTTGAATACCAAGTAATTCCGTTTATCTTGTCACCGGAGTGAACGTTGAATAACTCGTCTGTATTTCGTTTCTTTTATCAAAATATGGGTTTTTCAAATATTTTCTTTTGTATTATGCAAATGCGAACATTCGCCACTTCGGGTTGTTGTTTGGTGCCATCGAGTCATGGTCGACACCTGATGACCCCATGGACAAACCCTCTCCAGACTATTCTGTCCTAAAGACTTGTCTATTTCTTTGGTCACACCTTCTATCCATCTAATCCGTTGCCTTTCTCTTCTCCTTTAACCCTGCACTTTACTTTGCCAAACATGATACCCCGCTCCATACAATTTTAGGTAGAACAGATACATGATATTGTTGACAGCTAGTCACACCATGGGCCCTGTTGCATAAAACTTACAATTGATGGTAAATTTGCCATCAATGGCAACTACCATGGTAACAGGGCTCAACAGCCAATCAAAATCAAGGTTTCCATGGTAGTAACCATTGATGGCAAAAGTTACCATCAATGGTAAGTTTTGTGCAACAGGACACAGCAGTCCCTGCAGCTAGATTCAAAAGTAAGTGTTATTTTTCCGCTCTGGTGAATTAGTGCATGACATGAATATTGGCATTAATTAGATAAATGGTTAAATGAAATCAAATCAAATAATATATAAAGAAAGAAGAAGTTCGTAGTTACCTGGTGGGTTGCAGAGACAACCATCACAGACCGCCTGTGATCTAACTGAGCATGCGCAGATCAAGAGGACCAGGAGATGCAACATGTTAAAGTCGCAATTTAATCTCATGACAATTTCAGATGAGGAAACAAAACTGTGAAATGAACACAACAAGTAAACAACATCAAACGTTCTCATCCTTCCTCTTTTATTTTCATATAGTTTATATCTGCGGCTGTCATAAATATTTTGATATAGCTGTTGATGTCTGTTCATACCATGTTTTTAATGATTATCATTTTTCAATTATACTGACCGTATAACCATGAAGTTGTTTATGATGTTCTGTTGTTTTTAAAACTCGGGGTAAGTTTGGTTTACCGTAAACATTCAGGACTGTGTGGTTTCACATTCAGGTCATTATTGGAACTCAACTACCTTTAATTTTACAAAAAACAGGATGTTTACTGAAGCAATCATGCGTGCATTAGGCCTAACAAATATCATATTTGACAGCTATTGTGCATAACATTATTCACTTGCGAGCATTATAGCAGTATCGGTCTGGTGCAATATAGCAATGTACATAGAATAAACTCTTCGGAGTTTTCTTATCCAAAACCGGCTAATCACCAACAAGTGTATTACAAAAAAAAGTTGCGATAGATAAAGGCAATAATATTGTGTCGGTATACTAAACTGCTGGGCTTTACAAATTACGTTTTTCATTTATGAATTACATGTCTATTCTGTCAAAATCTACAAACGAGAGGTAAACTCATAGAACTGTAGAAAGATTTAAGTCGGTATTTATTTCCGCATTGGTTTTGTTTGGGATACATCACGTATTAAAGAAGTAAGACAAATAAACATTAAATCATACCAAAAATACTATAACAACTACACACATTACTATACATCTATCTGTATTTTAAGTACATTGTTATGTTATATGATCATAAAATTGTATAAAGAAAGCTACTTACTTCGGCTCCTCGGTTCACTTTAACTCTGGTCTATTGATCCTGATCTTAGACTGACCATGATACTGTCAAGTATGCAAGGGAAAAGCTGTCTCTCAAAACATGTTCCACGTCCGATAAATAGTAAATAAAAGCCAGTCAACACATTGGTACATGTAAATATTGCAGCTTCAGTCCGTTGACAAGCTAGCGTTTCACACGGGTGTGTTCCTACTAGTCCAACCAGCTGGTAGATGTTTCGGTTAGAGCAACACTCTACAATGCACCCCTAAACTGAACACTTTAGAATGAGTGTTAGATTCTGGTTACCCGTGAACAGAAAAATAATGTATGAAAGCCAAAGGTGGGTTGAGTTTCTGTGATTGTTCGCTAAAGCATGAACATATGAGGTCATATTTCTAAAGGCATTGACAAACACACGACGAAGAGTAGGCAATCGTGACGTATAATATTTGTGAGCAATAAACAATGTGGTCTGTGTGTTTATTTGTTTCTGCTATACATGCAATCCAAAAAGGGACAACTGTTGTTTTGCCAAAGGAAAATGCCTTTTAAAAAATTATTCACTATATCAACTTTAAAACAACCACTTTAATCAAAATAACAAGTTGTGTCCCCCAAAAAAATGTTTCTTTAGCGAAGAGAGAGGAACCTCTTTTATCTATAAAAAAAAAAGAAGGAATGTACTCAGTCATAAGGCTAGTGAAATACAGTGTAATATCCACCTTTGATATACTGGATAGTTATTATTTGGAAAGAAACTAAAACGATAAACAGAATGTTATCACATGTCACGTATACATGAAATGAAGAGTAACACAAAATTCTATTTGTGGATGGAAAATGTGATAACTTTTCATTAAAGGGAAAGGGAGGCGAAAACTCTTCTCATCCGGAGATTGGTTAAAAAACAGAAAATGTTATTTTCACTGGAATTTTAATAATCAGAAATCCATACTCGATGGCTAAAGGCAAATCGAAAAAAATTATGGGGGGGGGGGGCAAACATTGACGACGACACCGCCCATTGAACCCCCCCCCCCCCCCCGAAGATCACAGATAATTGTCCTCTTCGTCGAAACTTCAGGGGTTGCTTTTATAAAGTCTTCAACAAACTCAATCCCTTTCTTTCGCCACCCCCTCCCCCTCTCTCTCTCTCTTTCTCTCTCTCTCTCTCTCTCTCTCTCTCTCTCTCGCTGTCTCTCTCTTTCTCTAATTCTTTTTTTTTAATCTCTCTTTCTTTCTCTCTTTCTCTTCCTCGTCCCTCCTAATTCTCTGTTTATTTCTCTATCTCGTCCCTTCGCTCTCTCTCTCTCTCTCTCTTTCCCTTTCCCTTTCCCCCTGGCCCCTCTCTCTCTCTCTCTCTCTCTCTCCCCCCTCTCTCTCTCTCTCTCTCTCTGTACATATATATATATGCCAGAGCGATACAATTTTATAAGCCACCAGCAACAGGATCAATATATTTATATATCCCCGCCTTGCTCCCTCGGTCTCCATTACGTACCACAGCCTCCATTTTCTCTCATCCTGCTCCCCTCATTCCTCGCTCTATCTCATTCTCTCTCTCCCTTTATCTCTCTCTCTCTCTCTCTCTCTCTTTCTCGGACTATTTTTTTTTTTATTCTATTATCGTCTTCTCTGTTAAACATTTGATAATTCTACGTATTCTTAAGTATACATTGCAATTATTCAGACTATAATTTATTGTAATATTACGGTCGATAAATGAAGTAATTCATATTTGTAGAGTAAGTCAAAAGCGTGCATATATTTGTGTAAAGAAGATCCAACACATTACGCCTATATTTCACATTATACAACCTACTTTATTGGCAGATGAAATTATGTTAAGTTCTCTTTCTAATTGTAATACGAAATGATGATCAACCCGGTTAGCGTTTTACCAAATCTACAACACATTAATAACCCTCATTATGTCTCAGTATTTTTTCTAATAAATAATGGATAAATATTAAAATATTTGTATACAAGAACACTCTAATTTGATCGTTACCCTAAAACGTAATATATTGGTAATACGCTAATGGCGAAATGGCGTTATTAGCCGTGTCTGCATCAGTACTTTGTTCCAACGCCCTCATGTTAAAAACCAGTCATATATAAATAGATCATATGGGGAACTTGAACGTATACATTAGACCTAACAAAAAAAGATGTGGTATTGGCCTTTAGGTGCCAAAACATGGGTCAGTCGGTCGGAAATCTTTGTCTCTATTTTTTCCTTTTTTTCTCCTTCTTCGGGCTGATATTTTTCAGTTTCGAATGCTTTTATATTTTGTTTCTCTAAAAAACGGTAATGAAATATTTTCCTGATTTAACTTGTACGAGAACTTTGGTATTCCCGGTGAAATTTCGTTCTCTTGTTGGTAATGATCATTCCGGTGGGTTCAAGTATTATAAATATTGTGCCTTTCTACTGATTCGATAGATGGCAGACCTGACATCTTCCCTGTCATCATCAGGGTATTGGTCGACGGTTTCATTGACGGGAGTTTGGTGGCCTCTGACGCACCGACACGGTTGTGACCTCTGTGTTTCATGGACAGACCGGTCCCGTCGGACTTCACGAACCGAGTGATTAACGCTGCGGTTGCTACAATACAAAGGCCACCTAATACAACACCAAAAGATATCACTGCGACCTTATTGTTCTGAAAGAAGGACCCGTTACCAATACTTGGTCCCTCCGAGACTACTTTTGTAGGTGTTGCAGAGGACTGTGTTCTAGAAACTTCAAGATGGGTTGTTGCCTCAGCTGTCGGGTCAAGAGTGGTTTCATTAGCAGATGGAGTGTGAGCTGTGGAGGAGTTGACTGGAAGAAGGGTACTAGCTTTCGAGATGCTGGTTGAGACAAGAGTGCGCAGGGTTCCCTCTGAACTTGTGGAAACATTCTCAGGCATCTCTGGTTGGGTCATGGTGGAAGGGATGCCTGATGTATCAATCGATGATGTATCCAAATCGAATGGATCCGAAGAGGTATGTGTGCCAGTTGAACCTAACTCGCTGGTTGCTAATGTATTTCCTGTGGAGACCGTTAAATCATTCTCAGTCGAAACTGTTGTCTCCATCGAGTTGTTGGCCTTAGAAACAGTGGCAAGAGTCCTAGGTTCAATGGGAGTCGCCGATTCTTGTGAATGTGTTGGAGGCTCAGATGTAGGGTTAATTGTCGTTAGAACAGTGGTGGTGGCGATAGGTGCATGGATAGAAGTAGAAGCTGCATTGGCCGTCTGGTCAGATGAAGCTGTTGACCTCAAAGACTCCGAAGTGTTGACCTTTGAATCAGTGGCTAGAGTGGTCCTAGGTTCTATGAGAGCTGTAAAAACACGTGGAGTTGTTGGTCGCCCCGATCCAGGGGTATTGCTCTTTGGTGCAGTTGCTATGGTGGGCGTAGTGGTGGAACCTTCAAAAGAAGAAGTGGCCATAGAAGTGGTCTTTATAGAAGAAGTTGTCGATACCACTGATTCTGCGGTGGTGATCTCTGAAATAGTAGATCTAGATTGAGCTTCTGTTGGAGCAGTATGTTCACGTAAATTTGTCGGGCTAACCAATGCAGGGCTTTTGGTTCCGGTTAAGGTTGGAAGAGCGGTAGAACTCGTCATAAAAGTAGGAAACATATATTTAGTGGTATGTCTAGATGACGTGGTTGATTGAACCGATTCTGGAGTGCTGACCTTCGAAGAAGGGGGAAGTGTCGTATGTTCTTTGGGATTTGTTGTTTCCAGTAGACGTGTTAAAGTAACAGTTGCAGTGCTGGTGTTCGAAAAAGTGGATACGGCCGTAGGTCCATCATGAGTAGACGCCACATCAGTAGTACGTTCAGACGGATCTTCAGACTTAACCGACTCTGGGAATGTGGATTTTGGAAGAGAAGAAGTGGTCCGTTCTGTGATGGTTGTATGTTCCTGTATAACTCCTTGACTGACTGTTCTGGTTTCCTCCACTTTTGCTGTAGTGGGATGAGTCGAAACCTTTGCCGAAGTTATGTCTGGTTGTGTCGTTGGTTGTACTGATCCTGAAGTACTTCCTGTGGAAGGTGGTTGTTGTGTTGTCGATTTGTCGACCTCTGGTGTAGTTGTTGTTGTTGTTGAAGAAAGTGTAGTCCGGTCCGTCGTGGGTTGGGTCGAGACTTCTGAAAAGGTTAACCAGATAAGGCATTACTATACGATTGAGAAAGATAATTACCGATTACAGTATATGAAAATAAAAAAGTAATAAATAAAAATTCCTTTCCTTCTTTTGAACTATTCGTAAGAAAATAACTTACATGTAAATATTTCTTAAAACATGAAATGAATGGAACGATTTCGTTTTTAAAGCATGATATTCAGACTTTGATAGACTTTACACTAATCAATGAGCGACAAGACTTTCAAAAATCAATCTATGGCCAGTTCAATAGCCCTGTCCATCACCCAATGCAATGATGCATTGCATATACCGAACCTATGGGATATAAAGATATAAAGAAAGGGGTCTTGTAATTGCATTTTGGGTTGATTTTTCGAAAAGTCTTTGCGATCGTTTCGAAGTAGACTGTGATTTATAGATTGGATAGTTTCACGAGGAGACGATTTCCATAGAGTTAACACAAACACAGTCATTAACCTGTGTAACGGGATCAGACATATGAAAGCCTTTAGCGTATGAGCCAGTAATTCAACGCAATGTTCCCGTTGTTCAGTTTGTATTCCAAGTCACTCTTATATGGTGTGTCAAAGACCAAGTCAGTCGCTAAAACAGGGACCCGTCAGCAAATGATACATAATTCTTTCTTCGTATGCTTGATCTTGATGCTTGGATCAGTCGTGACGCAATTTAAAAAACACTGCGTAACAAACGGGCATAAGAGTAATTGCCGTCATATGTTTCTAAATGAAGCCTCGTCTGCAAAGGGTGCAAAACTATTTGCCTTCGTATGATTGCTTTGCATTAATAAGAAAGCTCTTTAAATGACAACTCGTTTGCATTGGTCATTACCAGGTATGGGGCAGTCAGCAGAGTGTATCAACTGTACATCGTCGATCGCAGCGTCTCCTTTATTTCCGTCACCTCGAAGAGCCTCGAATATTATCTGCGTTTGAAAAAATTATTTAAAAGAACAATTCAATTCAAAAGACTTTATTTCCGTTAAAAAACATACAAATATATAGATGTGATAAAGAACAGACAGTTTAAAATTTACAAATCATATGAGCATTATGTTAAATTGATTCAAACAAACTGTGAAAATTAGTAAAAGGAAAATGGAGCACCTGTAGGAAGCTTATGTCAGCTTGTTGATTCAGGCGTCCAAATGAATAAAATAATTACACAGATATAATAACATAATAACAGATATAATAATATAACAATGAGGAGATACACGTCGTTTCATTTTTAACCGCAAGATGCTCACGAGTGGTGTCAATTTTTTCTTCAAAATAAACGTCCTTCTATGCAAGGTCATGTTGTTCTTACAAAACGGACATTGGTACAAAGCATTATTAATTATTGGTGGTATAAGCTCCATTTGTAAATGTTAGTGATTAATTAATTCAACCTATATACTTATTTTTTAAGGAATTATTTCTTAGGCGTATTCAGACATTGGGATCATACTGGACATGGTAAATTATACAGCGCACTTTTCACTCTCTGCGCTAAAACTAAATCCACAAATATGCTTGAGTCACTGATTACGTACATGTCGGTTGAAGTTGCTAACATTTAATTCGTATCTTACGTACCTGTCGCATGTATCTGTCGCATGTAGGCCTAATTTGTTTATGAAACTTTTTAAGTTGTTGTGTTACTCACTACAAATTCATTCGCCATGTCGATGGCTACCTCAGCCATCTTCCACCTATCTCCCTGATCCCCATTCAAGCTCCAGATCATCGCAGCCTCCGACAACGTAGTCGACGTCGAGATGGTATCCGTGGTCGTCGCATACACGTTGAGGTATCCCATGTGTTTGCCATACAAATGGTACCAGAATCTCAGACAGGATGGGTCGGTGAATGAGTGGGTGCTTTGGATGGCAGGGGACACGAGTCTCGCCGAACTCCCGACAGCTTTTTTGTTGGCTTCGATCCGCACGTAATAACCTGTCATCACAGGAAGGACAGAGATTATTGTTTGACTTGCCACGCATGTTTTAATTATCGTAATTAACTAACGTTACCAAAACATTTCTTATTCAGAAGGACGATGAATATTGCATGTGCCGAAAGGGTATGAAAAATTAATTTTATACAACATAATTTGCCGACATAGCAGGACGTCGCTCTTCCTGGGACATTATTTCTTTACCCGTAACTATGGTTTCGAAACAACCTCTTCTCTCAAATGCACTCAAAAGGAAAGGGGATGGAATAAGGTTCCCGTATGATTTTTCGTTCCCAATGAATAGTGAGACTTTCTAAATAACTAGAGAGAGAGAGTGATGTATTTTTTCTCCAAACATAACTATCTTTTCCTTAACATCTACCCCTTAGTTGTTTTTTCTACCACTTCTAACTAAATTGTTGCACATAATCAATTCTAATAGTGACGATTGTATACTTATTTAAGAATGAAACGTACGATAATTCAGGCATTTGCTGAAGGATACGACAACGTCATAAAGATATTATCAAAGGCTAAAGTTGCCAACATAAGATGGAAGACGGGTGTGGCAAAGCCCACTCTTCCAGTCATTATACCATTCGCATTGTTGAGGGTGTGGTCCATTGTAGGTCCTGTAGTTGAAGTAAGCGTGCCCATGTTTTGCCGGATGAAATCAAAGTCAGCTGTCATGTCATGTTTAAAACCACAGATGTTCTGGTCCTCAAATGTACACTCGAAGGTATCTTTGATCGAAGAGGGATAATGTTTAGATTTGTTATCATGGATTGTTGTTATATGTATAGTGATGTTAAGTCAGTTTTCGCATATTGTAAATGCAATTGACCAGAAATTTTCGCCAAACGTCAATTTTTTTTCGCTTTCTAATCTTTAACGGCGAGAAAATCTTCTGGTGTTTTTATTTTCTGAAATCATTAATTAGGTTTTGAAGGAATTCGAAGAAAAAACAATTCTGCTTCCCAAATGTAAAGAATTTCGCACTATTCGATGGGAGCAGCGCCCCCCCCCCCCCCCCCCCACCACCACCACCACCACCACCACCACCTCATGAAGCCTTACGTGCATCCAATGAATCGTAATTGCCAGTTATACTGTACAATTCTTCATCTTATTATTCTAACTTGCTGACCATTCTTCTTCTTCTTCTTCTTCCTTCTTCCTGTTTTTCTCCTCCTGTAATGATCATTAATGGTATGAGGCCCTTAATAACTGTTTTTAAAACATCGGTAGAGATTTTGTTTTGTTTAGTCCTTTAACAAATACAAAAATTATTCATATTTTGTTTCCCTGCCGAAGCTGTATGATCGCTTTCTTTTTATTTTACCACTTTCCTAAGTTAGGAACTAAACTTGACATACCGAGTGCTGGACACGGACCCTCAGTGACCCGAATATCATCTATTGCCAGGCTATGCCCATTTTCATTGCTTGTCACCTGGGCTACGAAAATGAGCTGTAAGTATGAAAGTAAAATAAATAATGAAGGGAACTTCATCAAAATAATAGTTTTAGGTGCAGAGAGGATACAGGAATCTTCATATGGAAGACTTACAGGAAGAGAGGTTTTTCTAACAAGATAAAGGAATATTAAAACAAAAATTTGGTATAGGAACTTTTAGGGAGCGGCGTGTGAGTTAAATTGACTTTTAATTTACATTTTTAGTATCTATAGGGTCGATTTACTTTTGATCGTTTTGAAAAAGGTAGCCTTCCGTGAGGATGGGTGACATTTAAGCCTCTTGCAAATTTTGCAAATTTTGCAATCTATTGGACGTCTATCAATTTTGTTCCGTCACGTCATTTCAGTGTACAGGGCAAGTTAATCCTTTTTTTTTTAAATTAAGAATAATCAAGAACTCCAATGTTTCAGTCTTCATCTACCACAAAGTAAGTTTTAAACACTTTGTATATATAATACATTTATAATATCATATAATATATAACATATTACATAACTGCAACTTGTCTACAAAGTCGGCTTTCCAATCCATTGCGATTTAATCCTTTGAAATCAGTGGCGTAAGCCTGGCAAAATGACAACGAATTATGTTGAAACATTGACTGCAGAACGTATAGGCTATATGCAATGTCATCCGAACCCATTCACTATTTCTTTCTGAAACTGTTGTCAAGAACTTGATCATAATTAATCAGTACTACTTTCACAATTTTGATAACATTTTGATGTTTTTAATGGAGTCCTTCACCCAAAACAAGCAGGTGACATTTTTCAGAAGTATTAACAAAATTCCAATAACAAACATAATCTGAAATTTAAACAAACAATCTAGCCCGTATATAGATTGCAACCATAGATCTCAAACGCTATACAAATTATGGGATTGGTATGTTTATGAGGACAAAAAATACGTTCAATTTAATAAAGTCAAGAATATGAAAATGTTCAAAGTTGAAATAAATTAGTCAAAGCAATAGGGTTACAGGAACACTTCATAAGATACTGAATTTATTTCCAGAGTGAAAGTTCCGATGAATTGAAATAAAATATTTCATATAAAATTTACCTGAAATATAAAATCTTGAGGTCGTATTTTCAGCATTGCTTTCTTCCACAATCCTTCGCGGCTCCCGCCAAATTTACCCAAATCCATGAACGATTTAAATTCCGGAGCAATGGCAAACCCTGTGAGCGTGATCGTTGACCACGAGGATGAAAACACGGAGAGCTCGACGCACATGGCCGCGGTGGTCATTGCGAAGAATGGCGAGCCTATTCGTGCGATGAGGGAGGTCGATGGCGCCTTAGTGTCCAAGTACAGATAATGACCTGAGGTGATTTATTCATAACAGAGATTTTGACACTAATATCAAGAAAAAACATCAAAGTTTCATTTCAAAGGAATGTATGAACAAAAAATACTTTGGTATAAGATATATCCTATCAAATTCGATAATGATAATATTAGACTAGAGAAACGAATTATGTTACTAAGGTAATAAGCGCCAATTTTTTTCAGCGAAAACCATATGATTTTCAAGTAGCTATCTTTGAAATGTGAAAACTAACTAACATGGACAATTTCCGTCTGCGCCTTCTCTGATATCGAGTAAAATAAATAAAATAGTCTCCCCTATCTGTTATTCTCTTTTCCTACAGGCGATCTCTCTATTTGTCTCTCTCTCTCTCTCTCTCTCTCTCTCTCTCTCTCTCGCTCCCCCCCCCCCCCTTCCCCCTCTCCATCTCTATTTTATAGTGTTTCTTGCACTTTTCAGGCTTTTTTTCTCAATATTGTGTACACAAACCTGTTTGTTCATCATCCTTTTGTTAACTATAGCGATAACATTTTACCATGATTATTCTACACCCCCTCCCCCTACCCACCTTCCCCAAAAACTTACCCCCAATGTCTCAGTTTCCTGCCACGCCCCCCCCCCCCCCCAACCCCACCCCTTCCTATCACCACCACACACTTTCTCCCTCTTACACTCTTTACCTGCAATTGTCCCCATTGTGTTGTCTGCTCCAGGGCCGATGCCGTTAGAAGCGGGGCCCCAAACCCAGTCGAGATCGCTCGCCACCGTGTACTCGGTAAACCCGCAATCATTCTCCTCGAAATCGCAGGTGAAATCTGCTATATTTGCCAACCCTGAAGTAGATATAATCGGTTATGTATTGGTAAAAGCAAGTATCGAGGAGAAAATATAAAAATGTGTAAAGAATACTAGAATAAAACGTAAAAACATGGAATCTTTCAAAAATGATAGCTGTGATGTTCTAGATTCTAATAATTTAATTTCATGGACATATTAATATTTAAAGAAGCCTATGATCCCCTTACCATAATGAACAAGAACAAAATCGCAATAAGTGACATCTACTTGATATAAAGTTTTCATTTATTTTCTTTTCATTCGTTGCATCACGTTACAATATAAAATTATAAGACAACGATTTCCTAAATTTTGTAAAATATGGTTGTGATTTGAAATATAAGGACATTCAAATAATCTGGGCGTTGCAAGTGATGCACAGGTAGAGAAGTCCAATACAAAACTAACAAAAGAAATGGTTAGTTTACTCCAGATTAATATATAATATTGTAAGAAACGTACCTAACCTATTATTACATCATTTGAGAAATAAGTAAATAAAATTATAATCATAATAATAATATCAATTATTACGATAATAAATCATAATTTAAAAAAGGAAAAGGGAAAGAGAGGTAAAAAAAATAACTATCTAACCATTTGTCATGACGAAAGTTGCAAGGATATTGATAAAAATCGCTCGCCATGATCTCAGATCCATCATCGTCTTGGAAGATCCGAACGTCTCTTAAATTCCGTTAGTCAGAATTTGACGTATGTCCATTATGATCCTTGCAGGTGTACCTCTTACATGTATAATCAAGCAAAACAAGTGTGATACAATCTGCAAAATTATAAAAACATGATCGCGAAGCCTTTCAAGAAGTCGACTAAAGGGTAATACTTGTAAATCCTATATGAATCATGTTTGGATTCAGTAATATATCTTTGTAAGCTCATTCGTACAATTCGATAGGGGGCGGAAAAGGCTATTGAAATGAGTTCGAGTTCCGAAAGCCTTGACGAGTTTAGAAGCATATTTAATTCGTTTTAATGAGTATGAAAATCGTTACGGAAATAGAATACAACACAACAAACAAACGGTAACTTATCACTGTGATATGTCACTCCCTTATAGATGGCATAATCATTCAACTTTAGTTGCGATACTATACAGCCACAAAAAAATATCTAAACAGAATTCATTTTTTCACCTAATCAACTTACTTTTGTCGCCGCTGAGTTCTTTAACAACTAGTTCAAAAGGAATCTTCGACTTTAATGGGTTATTTCGAATCCCTAGAAACTAGGTCTGCCGAGGATCGAGTTACAGGAACATGTAAAAGTCATGGAAACACTGGGGCCCCAACAATGCATCATATTTACTCGTCAAACAAGCTAATAACGCCTTATCCGCTGAAAATAACACTTGCTCTCAAAGGCGAATCACATAGGTCAGTTGGTTGAATTGCCGGGCAACCAATATTTGTTGGGTGAAATATGTACTAAGAACGTGAGGGATCGGCAAAACATACCAAGGTAGTATATTGATAAAAACCTGCATAGATGTTCGTGACATTGTCCGAGATATGCAAATCACTTCTCGCTGATATAAAAAAAAAACATTTATTAAAAATGGATTATCAACACTCGCATGACAATGTCAATGTTTGAATCGCCACCCACCCACATTATCAGGGGCGACCGTGAAGCGTTAGTCGGGAGAGCGGTCTCACAAAATTTCAGGCAAGATAGTGGACCAATCAACACAAAAATGCACAAAGAAATAATCCAAATGCTTTTAAACCTTCCATGAAATAATTAATTAAATAACTCTAACGTTTTGAGTTTTTCTGATAATTTTAAAAAACTGCCACAAATTGAAATACAGAGAGAAAGAATATATTCTAACATTGTTGACCCCCCCCCCCCCCCCACCAAAAAAAAAAAAAAAAAACACGCCTAAACAAATGGTTTGATCTGCCATTGAAAACTTTGGCTACGAATTTCACATTTATTCCCCCGCCCCATTTACCACGACGCATCAACATATGAACAATATTGTAGTTGTTCAAATTTTAATTAACTACTGTAAAAATTTTGGCCGCGATTTAGGCCTAAAGGAAATTCAAAAATACATTTAATCTGCTATTTTTGCAGAAAAGAAGAACGAATTGTTAAAATAACAAATATTTTTTTTAACAAACTATTCAGTGGTTTTGCAAGTTATGGATGATCGCAGTGAGAGGTCTACGATTAGTGATTAATCCATAGAATGGAGTCACCCAAATGTTCCCAAAATAATGTGAACTTCTTCTGTTGAATCAATTCCAAAACGAATACGGCTCTGGTAACTTTGAGTAGAGTAGGATAACCATCGCCAATTTATACTCCGCAGGTAGCTCAAAATATTTGTACTTGCATAATCATGAGATGTTTTGACCAATCATAATTCAGCTTGAGCTTCATTTACAATAAATAATAATTTCTATATGCTTATGCCGCAATGAATCAACGTCATAATAAAGTGCTCATAATTGCGGTAAAGAATATTCAGTGCTCTTAAAAATGGCGCCGGTTTATGGTTAAGATCTTTCATTTGTAAATATTTTCGTTAGAATTTGAATGTATAGTCTTTTTATTTGCGTGGTGCCTTTTGTCCGGAGGGCTCTGTGTTACTAATCAAACTCTTTTGATTTGTCTTCTATTTACCCACAGCTCAAGATCAAGTTCAAACACAGCCTATTTTATCATTATAGAGTAGTACAGTGTATATAAGTAGTAGTACATGCAGTTGTAGTAGTAGTAGTAGTAGTAGTAGTAGTAGTAGTAGTAGTAGAAGTAGTAGCAAGCCTGTACAAGCTTTTTTTTTTTAAAGAGGGGTTCTAAGGGTTAACTACTTTGAGCCAGAGGTGAGAGTGAGACATTGCGAGGGAGGGAAGCGACCAATCCCGAAGGGGTTAACGAGCACTTAATTTGTTTACGTGAGAGAATATTAAGCGGCGGATCATCCGGCAAATAAGCGGGAGGTGTAGTGAGCACTATTTTTTTTTTTTGCTCAACAGGGGGGGGGGGGGGTATGGATCACCATTTTTTGTTTTATTCACCACCTCCCCCCCCCCCCTCTAGTTTATACGGGGGTGAGTAGTTGTAGTAGTAGTAAGTAGTAGTAGTAGTGGTAATAGTAGTAGTAGTAGTAGTAGTAGTAGTAGTAGTAGTAGTAGCAGTAGTATTTTTTTTTTCTCCATTTTTTGGACCCTCCAACAGGCCATTTATTGAAAATCAATCTCAAGATAACATAATTATTTGAACACATGTTCCAATGAATATCATACAATATTTCATAATAAGATATACATAACGAATATCAACCATAATACTGTATATACAGAACATACATGTAGATAAGGGAAAGAAAAACAAATATTAAATAATAATGCAACATCATGACTGAAAATGATATGGGAAATTCAATATACTCCTATTAAAGGATCAAAATCCTCTCAAAATTTATCCATTTTTTATCGAATTTGTCAGTTTTGTTAGCAAATATACTAACTTGCCTCTCATTTGTGTAACTATTCTTGATATATTGTTTTATTGTCCGAAAGGACGGTACAGACTTTTGTATTCGAGCAGTAGTATTAGTAAAGTAGTTATATGGAAATATAGAGCAATGAAATCCAAACAAAACTCTAGATCACAGAACATTCAAATGAGTATACATAACGCATAACAGAATATTTTTGTTCAAAATAGAGAGTCAGGGGTCTTATAAGTTTATTGACCTTCCAGCTCAGAAATGACCTCTGCTAATGACATCACCAGGACACACTACATTACCCTTTCAAAGAACAATGTTTTTAAAAAATGTAATTAATTATGAAGAAGATATTGGAAAAGGTTTGGTCAATCGATGGGGGTAAACAATTACAAATTGATAGAGAGTGATGTAGACATGAAGGAGGAGTGCATTCGATAAATCTTATTCAGAACTTTAAAGATATTAAATAAAATATTGTTTTCGATCCAATTATAAATTGAGACAGAAAGTCAAGCTTGACTTCATTGAACAATGGATGTTTTGTGGACGAGTCCTTAAGAGCAAACGGTTTTGATTATTCAGCTTTTGTGCAGATACCGCCCAGTGCAAACAATGATCATTTTAGAAGATAAAGGAGTCTCTCAGAGATGAATGATGGGTCAACATGTCATTATGCGGTCTGAAGACAGTGTCTTTGTCGCAGTTTCCCGCACGTAGGCTAAGGTTGACAAATTACTTTATATTACGGCAATGGGTTTGATCGATAAACCCTAAACATTGGACAGAGAGGGCGTCTTGTGGCTTGTAGAGGGCGTTATTGAAATGGAATTTGAAGTGTCATTGATTAGGACAGTTTGGCCAACCATGTCCGAGTAAAGCGTTGGTCACATCCCACCGTGCGTGTTTTTAGTCCGTACGGATTTTGGGGAGGCCACGGCCGCCACGTTTTTCTGAAAACGTAGGGAGGGAGTGGCAAAGGCAAGGAGTGAGTACCGGCAACGCGCGTCACACGCACTGTGTGAGTACGTGGCCCGCACGCCACGCCTGGCCGTGAACGGTTGCGTGCATCGTACGTTGCGCACGTGGTAAGTGCGTTGTACGTGCTTACAACGTGCTTACAACGTACGGTCTCCGTGCGGTTGCCACGTTATCGTACGGAAGCCGTACTTACAAGTGCTGCTCACGTACGGTGTCCTTACTCACTCGCATGTTGTAAGTGCGTGCACGTGCGATGAACTCGGTGTTAATATAGGACGACATTCCGATGTTCTCCAGAAGTCCCAGCTGTTGCTGCCTCAAGATGCCGCCCATTCCACCGAAGAGACTATATACTGCATAAATCAGTGCGAACAACGTGCGTTGTAAGTGCTTACTCGGTACAGTCCACGTGAGTTCTGCGTGCTCATTGGATAGCTGAACTGGGGAAGTGGCGAGTAAGCACGGACCACGCACTTATCACGTGCGTCTTTAAAAGACGCACGGAGTCAGTGCGTTGTGCGCTCGTTGGCAGTACCGGGCACGCACGTCACACGCACTTGGGTGGATCGGTAGCCCGAACGCAGCCCGAACGCAGCGAAAGTTCCTCGTGCACTAAAAGTGCTGCGGTGTGTCTGCGTGCTCCCAAATCCGTACGGAGGCGGTACTCATCACGTACGGATACCCACATTTTGCCCACGTTTTTGCACGTAGACAGCACGCACTTGCAAGTACGGCGGGATGTGACCACCGCATTATAGGGTTCAATGATGGCTAATACTGCGCAAAGATAGCTCTGGAATTTCGATACACTCTTCTCCCCGGGAGGAAGGGGGCAAGTCAAAATTTATTGTGTATTCATGCGTCAACACGGGTTTCCCAAAACACCTCTAAACAAGTTTTATAATTGGTAAATCAAATCATCTCACCCTTTTCGATTTGTTACGCTTTTTCTTGAAAAATGTACACCCTAAACATATTTAACTTCCTTGGACATATCCCCTAAACAAGGTCTTCAAATAATAACCCCTTTTAAAAATTAGTTGCTAAAAATAGCTCTTATTGATGTTAACACATATGGTGTATGGAAACTGAAAATCCAGGTAACCGCACTCTAAATGAATTTAAACCCCTATTTAAACATAAAAAACTATCCCTATATACATACGTTTAAAAATACCCCCTGACTAGCACAGCACCATAACTGCACGTAGGCGATGCATGATTTTATGGATTGTTTAAACACATTTATAACTAAGATTGTGAGCGCGTTCAACAATACCTCATGACCTACATAAAGAATAAGGGTCTCAAACTTCGCTCTCTAGATGCTCGCTTGTTCATATTTATCATACATTCAACGGTAAACAGAGCGGTCTACTTCAGTACAGACTTCACTCATGTATCATGATATAGTTCCTGAAATTTGAAACAGAGCTTCATCATGGATTCCACGCCTATATTTGTGTTATCGATCTTGTTTTTCGTAACTTCCGGTATGTATTTGTAGTATTGTGGGCATTTTTAAAGACATAAGCCGAGTAGACCTACATCGTAATATGATACATAAGAATTGCATTTTTTTTTCGAGATGGGCTTTTTGTTAGTAATGCGCTGCTATTAAGCTGTTGTTATAGTACTTTATAATTATAGTGTTGTGTGCGATGGTTTCTTCTCTATTCAATATGCCATTGAATTCATAATAAAACTATTGATTAATCTATGGTGGGGATTAAACTCAAAATTTGAAATCACCATACGCACATGGATTAGCTGTATCCATAGTGTGGTCGTCACTCTTTGAACTGTGAACGTAACCTACTGCGATGGTATGTATCCACAGTGTGGCAGTAACACATAATAATGTAAACCACTTAGACTATATGATTATGTAGTGAGGTGGTAACACTGTGAATTATAAAATCATACATGCCATGAGTTGTAGTCATTACATTATGTGTCTTGTGAATTAAAATTGAACGTCCTGTATTTCGTAAATTTTGTTGAAGGGTCAGGCTCGACTAGCACATATGGTCCCATTAATACTATTCTTCACTATTGTTGGTACACATATATTGTTACTATTGTAGGTGAATAAATAAAACAATTAATCAATCAAATTTCATTCTTCAGTTACGAAAAACACAACAACATCACATTTAAAAGGAGTATGAATAATTCAGGTGCTAACTCTACATGTACATATTTGTTTTTATTCCAGGAAATAAAAATAAAAAAATCAACGTGACTTACAAATAAATCATGAAGGCCGACATTTTTGTTTTCATTTCCTTTTCTCCTTTTTTTTAATACAGGAGGATATGCGCAGTTGTTCAGTTGTAACTTTGAAACCAACCTCTGTGATCTCACTTCAGACACCTCTACAACATGGAGCATGGTGGAAGCAGGGGTCACTAAGAGCCCTGGCGCCGATCACACCTTTGACAGTTCGAGTGGTAAGGGGCATTTTTAGTCACCACACTGTATTTTAATGTCCCATTAGGCCATCCGAAATTAGATATTATGGATCAAACATGCATGGCATGAATGAAGTAGCCAGGGCTAGACCAACACTTTGTTATGTTCATCGCCAATTTGTGTTTGTAAGTCAATTAATACCTATCCCTGTATTATATTTGGCCTGCAATTAGTCTACGGAGCCCGTATCCTGCCCATATCCCCTTTTTCGTACGGCCTCCGTGCGAAGGCAGGAGGCGGCCGTGAGATATTCGTGCGGATTCACGGACTACGCGACCTCTACGATTTTGTTTCGGGAGAAGTTATACAAATTTGAAAAATCGTACGCCCGTAGCCCGTAGACATGTTGTAGGTGGCATTGCACAATCCCCGCAAGGGCCTCGCGCGGAGTCCTCGCGCTGATCGTGCATATATACTGGGGACTCGGATGCTCAAAAACAGCAAGGCGGCTGCACGGTCACCGCGCCTTCTCGCGCAATCTCTGCACGAAAGCTGCACGGGCTCCGTATGCAGGCGCGGATCCAGGATTTTTTAGGGGGGGCCCAAATTTGAAATTATGCGAGCCAAATATTGGTACGTTATGGTGACCAGCAGTGACGTAATGCAGGGGGTGTAGGGAGGGGCGAGTTTCCCCCTCCCTCCTCTGCAAAGCGCGAAAGCTATATATGACGTTTCATTAAAGTATTAGAGAAAGAAGACAATTCGTTGTACCGTTCTCGACTCTTAATCCTTGTCTAAATTCAGCCCCCCCCCCCTCCCCTCCGCGCAGCGCGGAAGCTTTGACGTTTCATTAAACTATTAGTGAAAGAAGACGATTCGTTATAGCGTTCTCGAAAATTATCCTCATTTGAATGTATTTTCCCCTTCCGCGCGAAGCGCGGAAACTTTTACGTTTCATTAAATCATTGACGAAAGAAAACGATTCGTTGTACCGTTCTCGACTCTTAATCCTTGTCTTAATTCAGTCCCCACCTCCCCCCCCCCTCTTGCGCGAAGCGGGGAAGCTTTGACATTTTATTAAATTATTAGAGACAGAAGACGATTCGTCGTACCGTTCTCTATACTCTTAATCCTTGTCTTAATTCAGTCCCCCCCCCCCCCTCCGCGAAGCGCGGAAGCTTTGACGTTTGATTAAATTATTAGAGATAGAAGACGATTCGTTGTACCGTTTTTTTGTCTTTTGTTTTTTGTCTGCTCCTTTTTCTCCCTACGTCCTCTTCTTTTCCTCTCCTCTCTATTTTTTTCTATCCCCCCCCCCCCCCCCCTGGCTACCCGCCTGCGGTCAGATAAACAAATTTTGATACCTTGTCCGACCCGGGAAGCTCAGGGGTTTTAGGCATTTGATTACGGTCAGATAAACATATTTTTATACCTCATTTGTGACACTGGCAGGACACTAATTGGCGTGAGGTCCAGCGGGCGAAGCCCCCAGAAAACAGGGGCTTCAGGCATTTCATTTCCGTCAGATTAGCATCCAGGGGAGTCTAGGGCCCTAGGCGGGGTGCAGGGGACGGAACCCCGGAAGCTCAGGGGTTTTGAGGCGTTTAATTTCGGTCAGATGAGCAGCTAGTTAACTATTCTTTCTTTTTTGCTCTCTTTATTTCTCTTTACTATACCTTTTCAAAAAAAGTGGAGGAGGGGGGGGGCTCGAGGCTTGCGATTCCAGCCGATCCCCGGGCCCTAACTTTTCTCAAGAATCATTGCCTGGCTGTAAATTTAGGAATTTGTCATTTTCCAACAAACGCATACAAAAGTATAATTTACTACAAACTGAGGAAAAATCTCGGAAAGAATTCAGCATTATTTGTAAGCCACCGTTATGGAATTATAAATAAACCACGTTTGAATTTGAATTCCCCCAAGCCCCCCCCCCCTATCAGTACTCCAGTGCCCCTTTTCTTTTTCTTCTTTCTCTTTTTTTTTCTTTCCCTTTCTCTCCTCCTTAAGGTTGGCCGAGGGGGGGCAAGGGCCTTTCGGCCCCCACCCCGATCCACACGTTGTTGGCGGGTTTAACCGGAACTGATCTCCCGTTCTTTTCACCCTTTTCTTTTCTTTTTCCTCTTTTTTGTTCCCTTTTAGCTCTCCTCTTTCCCTTTTCCTTCTTTCTCTCTTTGTTATAGCGGGGGCGGGGGGAGGAAAGGGCCTTTTGCCCCTCCTCGATCCACCGGCGGGAAAATTGCAAATGATATCCCCTTTCTTTTCTTTTCTTTTCTTCTTCCTCTTTTTCCTTCCCTTTATCTCCTCTTACCATTTCCCTTTCCTTCCTTCTCTCTTTTTTTTTGATTGTAGGGGGGATGCAACAGCCTGGGAGGCAAGGCCCTTTCGCCCCCCCCCCAAAAAAAAAAAAAAAACCCGTTTCTTTTCTTCTTCCTCTTCTTTCTTCTGGCGCTACACCTCTTACAAAAACAAAATGCAAAAATATCCAAAAAGAGAGGACTGCAATGGGGAACTTTGATTTAAGCTACGCGACCATTATTCTCTCATTTCCTTTCACATTGTATCTCATAACCATGAGAATTGCCAAGCTATTGTATACGTTATTTCGTTACACGCACACACACAAACACACGCACACACACAAACACACGCACGCACATACACACACGCACGCAAACGCACACACACACACACAAGATCATAACCTGCACGAGTCTACAAGGTGTGAGAAAACTCTGATTCAGGAAAGAATGCAAGGGTGAAAGTAAAAGCGAAAAAAGTGGACACTCTCACATGGCTTCCATGGATGCCGTCTTTGTTCTCTTTTTGCCTTCTTCTTACTCCTTGACCGTTCGCGCATATTTTTTTTTACACAACTGTTTAACCATATATAGTACATGTGCAAGCACGTATACCCAGGGAAGGGAAGGTAATAGAAAAGGGAAAACAAAAAAATACATAAGGAGAGTGCAGAGGATATGAAGAAAGAAAGACAAAGAAATACATAACGGAAGAGAAGAGGTCAGGGCTTTTAGGCACCAAATTACGCATCTAGGGACCCGCCTTAGGCCCCTTGGTGGAGTCCAGAGGGCAGAGCCTCCGAAAGCTCAAGGACTTTAGGCATTTAATTACGACCAGATGAGCAAACAGAGGCCCGCCTTAGGGCCCTTAGTGGGTTCCAGGGGGTAGAGCCCCCGGGAGCTCAAGGAAAAATACTGCCATTTTAGCAATACTTGTAAATCACTGGTATCAAATTAAAATAACCCATGTTTAAATTGTATTGGGGGGTTACTGCCCCCCCCCCATCAGTACGCCAGTGAAAGAGGCGGAGGTGACGGAAGGGACTACCCCCCATAAAGCTGTATGATATTAAGTCTTATATGTAAACCCCTCACAGGTTTTTGAAGTTTTGTTGTGTTACAAAATTACATTCTTTAGCAAAACTACAGCATAAAAACAAGCAATATACTTTTTCACGATTCACTTTTACTTTGCCGATATCTAGTGTGCAGTCCGAAGGGTTGTAAATATTTACTAGGTAAATTTTAGTAAGTACTGAGCAGGAAGGGGCTTCTTAAAAGAGCAAGCTGAATATTCATTTTTGGAACACTGATCTATTTCTATAACTTTTAATCTTGTTAACATACAGTATAAACTGTACATACGTGATACCAACAGAATACATATTTTCTACAATATTTACTTGTATATTTTTAGGATATTATGCGAAGGAGCGTAGCGACCGAGCGAGAAGATTTTAGCATTTCTATTAGTCTAAACGCTGTACTCTTGGGCCCACCTTGGGCGTGTTGCAGTCTTTAGTCAGTATTTGCTATACATTTTGTTGGTGTGCACTTTTTCAAATTATCCACAGGGGACGATCCCCCTCAAAAAATTGAGGGAAGACGTGTACCCCGTCCTTCCCCCGGGATCGCCGCCCCTGACTCGCACATTTCTCTTTCAATTGCAGAACGCTCTAGCTGTGTCCAAGATAATAAATTCTCGGAATGTGGGGCATCTCGCAAAAGACATGGGGAAAAAAATGTGTCGTGTGAAAAACCAGGGAAGGACACAGACACAAAGGCCCGAATTCACAAAGGCCCGAATTCACAAAGGAGGTTTGTAGACAAACCTATGTTTATGTGCGTCATAATTATATGACGCGTTTCAGACAAAGATTGGTCTAAACCTTGGTCTGAAACGCATCGAAACGCGTCATATGAAGCACATAAACCTAGATTTGTCGACAAACCTCCTTTGTAAATTCGGGCCAAAACCTCCATGGGTGCGATGTGACCTGTGTGGACGTTGGTTCCACCTATTTTGTGTTTTGCTCAAAAAAAACTATCCACAAAAAAGGACTATGTATGCTCCTTTTGTGAAGCGACCTATCAATATTAATGTTCACATATCAGTCCCTTTTTGGATTGCCCTCCTCCCGTCCCCCCCCCCCCCAAGAAAAAATATTATCACATTGTTACATGTGTGCACAATATCTATTGATGTGTCAACCTAACGAGAGTGGTGTTTTCATAATGATTATTGACCTCCTTTAAATTTATATTTATATGGAAGACTTAAGAAGACAACTGTTTACAGTCCAACTAAGGGTGTAGAGCATGCCGTGTAGACTAAAATGTGCAATGTTGTTCAATTTCTGAATTCTTTGTTTAATAAACTTGCTTGCTGTCAATAGTGTATACATTTTTTATACATTTCAAATGTCTAGTCCGGTTAAAAATAGTACGTAATGATTTCAATATTTGACACGTACTTTACATTGATTTATCTTATTGATAAGCGAAACGATTTGCTTAAGTATCATATAACAAATATAAAAGTAATGACAAGTATGGTTTTCCTGGAAATTGCATTATACAATGTATATTCATCGTTATGGAAAATGTTGTATAATATACAACAATGGGCATTAACATTTTCCAGACCAATGATTTAATTACGTTTAATATTGAAGCTGTTGCCCTTTGTATATACATGAACTTGAAATAATAAGTAGCCTTGAAAGTGTCGCAATAAATCATGTGTAAGTGAGCTTGAAGTTTAATGGTGTAGGTTTGTTTGATACTGTATACACTGTAAAAAAAAATTGTTCATTGGTAATTTTTACGTATTTTTTCCATGTAGAATTTACTTGAAAACATCAGTTTTGCCACTTACGCACTAAATTTAAGTCTTGTGAACTCAAACTTTCAATTTAGTAGAACATACGTGGAATATTTAAGTAAAATCAAATGCATAAGAACTTTAAGTAATTTTAGCTTGTATTAATTTAGTAATTTTAACTCAAAATCAGAAATTATACGTATTACTCAAACAATTTATGTTGATTATTCTTATCTTTTTAAAGTAAGGACCGATGCAGTGCGTAATAGAATATTTACATAATTTATGAATATTCATTAAGACCAAATTAAACTCTTTTTTAAATAAAACAATTCTTTTTTGTGGTTGAATGAAAATTTAAGGACTTTAAAACATTTACTAATTCATTTAACATGGCTAAGCAAAGACAAGACAATTTTTAATTCTTACCCAGTTCAAAACAAATCAAAACTTGATATTTCAGGAAATTGTCAACCAATTTTCCTTTTAAGATGCTACGATCAAGTATATATAAAATTTGGAGCCTTTCAATATGTGTCGAATTGAAGCGTATGTGTAAGTGAATAGTGATTAATCTTAAATAGAAGTAGTGAATGATAAGTGGATGTTACTTGTTAGATTAGATGGGTACCAAATCGTGCAATATGTAATCCTATCATAGCTTTTTTTTTAATTATCTAAAATGATTACAATACTTAAATTATTTACGTTAATGTAACTCGATTTAACTGAGTAAAAATGTATTCAGCAAAATAAGTAAATTCTACTTAAGATGCCGTAGGTAATATTTACTTAATAAAAATAAGGCAATTCTTTTCCTCAATTTTATTGAGTTATTTCGACTATTATTTTTTTACAGTGTAGCCTTTACTCTGTTTTTAATGAGATATAACTCAAATCAAATCTAACTGAGTGATGTTATCGTACAACTTAACAATATCAATCTTCTGTTCTCCTAAATAAGCCTGGGAAACTTGAAAATTGCATTACAATGTGAATTCATTGTCAGTGAAAATGTAATACAATACACAACAATGGGCAAATAATTGTTTCCAGACCAATGATTTAAGTAAGAAGAACTTACATTTTATATTGAAACTGTTGCCGTTGTATATACATCAAGCGCGGATCCAGGATTTCTTAGGGGGGAGGCAAAATTTGAAATTATGCGAGCCAAATATTAGTTCGTAATGGTGACCAGCAGTGACGTAATTGGGGTGGGTGGGTGCAGGGAGGGGCGAGTTTCCCCCTCCCTCCTCCGCGAAACGCGGAAGCTTTGACATTTCAATAAATTATTAGAGAAAGAAGACGATTTGTTGTACCGTTCCCAAAAAATAATACTCGTCTGAATTGAGTTTTCCCCCTCCCGCGCTAAGCGGAAGCTTACGTTTCATTAAATCATTAGAGAAAGAATACGATTTGTTGTGTCGTTATCGACTCTTAATCTTTGTCTAAATTCATTTTTTTCCTACGTTCTCTTCCTTCCTTTTGCCCACCCCCCCCCCCCCCCCGATCCACAAGTTGTTGGCGGGAAAATTGCAACTGATATCCCCTTTTTTTTCTTTTCTTCTTCCTCTTTTTTCCTTCCCTGTATCTCCTCTTTTTCTTTTTTCTTTCCCTTTCCTTCCTTCTCTTTTATTTTTTGATGGGGGGGGGGGGGGCAACAGCCTGGGAGGCAAGTCCTTTTGCCCTCCCCCCGATCTACTTCTTCCCTCTTTTCTTTTCTTCTTCCTCTTCTTTTTTTTTTCCTTTCTCTCCTCTTTCCCTTTCCCTTCTTTCCTTCTCCCTCTCTCCTTTTTTTTTTTTTTTTGCGGGGGGGGGGGGGCGCCAAGGCCCGCTTGGCCCCCCCTGGATCCGCGCCTGTCCGTATGATTTCCGTGCGGAGGCTGGGGAGACTGCACGGCTACTGCACTGCAATTGCACGACTGCCGTACAATCTCCAAGCAGCCTCTGTATGGATTAGCCGCGGCCCGCCCCCGAAGGCTATTACAAGAAAATGCACGATGCTCGTAGATAATGTAAATACAAACATCGTAGCCAGTAGCCTCCTACGATGCCTGAAAAATCGCACGAAAATCATAGATGAATTTATCGTATGGCGCCCGGGGCAAATGTAATCGAGGCATAAGTCATACCGACAAGACAATATTTGACAAGTCTTTTTACTTCCAATGTCGTGACTGAGGTATTAAACACTGTACTCTCGAGTTGTTCATGAGGCGTTTATGACTGAATGTCGGCGATTTTTGTGGAAGAATTGAATCCGGGCTCTACTATCATCGGTTGCGCAGGAGGCGTCATTTTTTTCTGACGTAGGACTGGGTAAGGGATTTGGGCAGCTTTGCGACGCGCCATGCGTTGAATTACTGTTGCATACGCCAATTGCCTCCTTTGAGACATTTGTATTAATCTTTGTCTAAATTCATTTTTTTCCTACGTTCTCTTCCTTCCTTTTGCCCACCCCCCCCCCCCCCGATCCACAAGTTGTTGGCGGGAAAATTGCAACTGATATCCCCTTTTTTTCTTTTCTTCTTCCTCTTTTTTCCTTCCCTGTATCTCCTCTTTTTCTTTTTTCTTTCCCTTTCCTTCCTTCTCTTTTATTTTTTGATGGGGGGGGGGGCAACAGCCTGGGAGGCAAGTCCTTTTGCCCTCCCCCCCCCGATCTACTTCTTCCCTCTTTTCTTTTCTTCTTCCTCTTCTTTTTTTTTTCCTTTCTCTCCTCTTTCCCTTTCCCTTCTTTCCTTCTCCCTCTCTCCTTTTTTTTTTTTTGCGGGGGGGGGGGGGCCAAGGCCCGCTTGGCCCCCCCTGGATCCGCGCCTGTCCGTATGATTTCCGTGCGGAGGCTGGGGAGACTGCACGGCTACTGCACTGCAATTGCACGACTGCCGTACAATCTCCAAGCAGCCTCTGTATGGATTAGCCGCGGCCCGCCCCCGAAGGCTATTACAAGAAAATGCACGATGCTCGTAGATAATGTAAATACAAACATCGTAGCCAGTAGCCTCCTACGATGCCTGAAAAATCGCACGAAAATCATAGATGAATTTATCGTATGGCGCCCGGGGCAAATGTAATCGAGGCATAAGTCATACCGACAAGACAATATTTGACAAGTCTTTTTACTTCCAATGTCGTGACTGAGGTATTAAACACTGTACTCTCGAGTTGTTCATGAGGCGTTTATGACTGAATGTCGGCGATTTTTGTGGAAGAATTGAATCCGGGCTCTACTATC